GAAAAACACTTTCCATAGAAGGTTGCCTCCTCCACCCCCATGTCTCTGAAGCAACCTCTTATAGACTAGGCTCTGGGATTGGGCTCTGGGTGTGTACAATGGTGAGAAATGGGACCCATTCTTTTATAATTCTGTCAGGCTTTGAACAGGTTGATATCTGTGGGGTACCCAGGGTGACACTGAGCTGAAAGGGCCACAGTCTGCTCTCTTTAGTCACAGACCATCAAACATCCAGGAGAGGTGAGGTGGGGCATGGATTTGGGATGGGGGCTTCCTACATTAAATGTTTAAAGATAACAGTGAAACTAAGTCTTGGCAAAGTACACACAAAAGCTGAGAAGTTTGATAACTGTTTTGAGTGTGACATAAAGCTCTCCAATGTAACTGTATAATCTCAAACCATGTCACCCTTCTGTAACCCCAATGCTAAATCAGTTTGTTCAGTTCAGTTCTCATAGCATCATTTCTGTAAGGATGCTAAAAGCAGACAGAGAACAAAAACAGGTTTCCCCTTCCCCAGTCAGACTCTAAAAAGAGAACAAGACATCCAGTGCAAGGCTCTAGAAGTCCCAGGGAAATCTGGCTAATATGGTACAGCATTATAACACCCCCATCATGCCATTTATAAGTCGGGCCAAGTAAGTGAAAAATAATGTAATAACATCTTGTGATAATAATTAACCCATAAAGGGAAAGAAAACACCATGGAGATCTTCGTTGTTCTGTAAATTCCTGGCCAATCCTCAGTTCCTAATTTGTCTGGTTTGCTCACGCATCACAGCACACCCGTATTTGAGAACTGTCTGTGAGGTAGGAGAGTTTTAGTGAGGGCTTCTCTGACAAGTAACGGGTGGCTGTACTGTCCTAATTGGGAAAACACTAATCACAAACAACATTAATATCAATAAACATGGCTCACTTGAATTAAACGCTCATGTGCTTTGGGATACAAATGCATGTTGTTAGAGGCATTATACTTCTTTCTAGAACATTAGTTAGCATTGCGTCTGTGACCCTTTAGTCTGGAAGGACTTACATAAGTTGGTTTAACACAGTAGCTGTTTGTGCTGGGCTTTTGGGACAGTTTGAGGTTGTTTGGCGTTGATTCCCAGCCACATGATAATAATCCTTGCCAGCGGAAAGCGCCCAAGCAACAAATAAGACATCATCATGGGAAATGTCATAGGATGTGCTTCAACAGCTACATGTTGGAAAGTGTTTTCAAATGTATGTCATTATGTTTTTATGGTAGGCTATGATAGTGGATGTTGGATAAGAGTAAAAACTGAGTGCAGTACAGTTTTCAAGTCCCAATTTAATGAAAGCCTTTCAATTGCTACTGATAACTGACTGGTCCAGTTTAGTTCTCACTGTCACGAGTGTTAAGCCTTTGCAAGTTATTGACAGTGGGAGGTTTTCACATTATTCTGATTGCCACCAAGACCTTTCCATTAAAGTGTTTTGAGACATTTTTCTATTGCAAGCAACACCCTCTGCTGGACAAAAAACCCAGAAACATAAAAACAAGAACTTGGTAAAACTTCTACATGGCCCCAGTCATTATTCACATTATACACACAGTCTCTTAAATATGTAGGCTATAGCTTGTTTATTCCTAAACAGTTATGGTCAATTATAGATACAATGACAGCTATGGAATCACACGTTATGAAATGGTAAGGACAACTTTCAGCAAATTCATTCATTTTCTCAAACTCCAACAGTCAAGTCTTCTCAAACAGTCGATTTTCTCAATACAATTTACACAAAAGGGAGAAAAAAAAAAGTCTAAAGAACTACAGAAGATGAAAGGAAACAGTGAATATTATGCTACCTACCGATTGTTGATGTAGAGGGAAATTTGCTGAAATTTCTCATTTTAGTTTTCAATAAACACTTATGAGTCTTAAGAGTTTACTTTTAGATATCAGATACTCTATACTATTATAATGATATGCTGATAACTTTAAATTGAAATACATGAACTCTGTCATTCATTAATTCAAAATATCTTTGGCACATCTGAACCTATAGGGCTCGTATCAGTACATATGAGGAAAATCAGCTGACATGTTTGTACTTGATCTCTGACTATTTCTATAAGGTGGATTACAGTATATAATAGGACAGCAATATGCAATACCGTCAAATAAATCTATAGTTTAATACAAAATAGTGCAAAACAATCTGAATTAATCTACCATCTGTCTTAAATGATGGATTTAGACACCATGTCATAGAGCAGGTCATAGTCTTATAGCTCGTGCATATTCAGCCAACTCATAGAAAAAACAACATCAGCCAAATCTTTGTGACAAATAACATAATTTCATATGGTGCAGACCGCAGACACATACAGGCTCCCTCAAAACACACTATAACCTTCAAACATTCAAACAAACATATAGGTAGGTACTGTAGACAGCATCACCACTGGTGGAGAGTACAACAATGTAGGAACAATGTTGACCCCATAGTCCTATGTTCACCTGCAATACTCAATGGGGACAAAAATAAACGTTTACAGTATCCCACGGGAAACACATGAATTCACATCCAAAATCTGTTGACAGAGTGCAGACAGTCACAGTACATTAAATAAATCAATAAAATAAACATTAATGATCTCAATATCGACACACCATGGCTGCTTTCCTATAGAAATGTACATGTACTGTTGGAATCTGACGTTGTGCTGCCACACAGTTGGTGAGCACAGTACATAGCATCACAGACAATTAAATAAGGTACTCTACTGTTTCCTATTACACTGTGATATGTAAACAGTAGTCAGTCACCTGATTGAGTGAATTGAAAAAGGAAACAATAAGGGCATACAGTGCAGTAGGTCTAATGTTGCACTAGACAACTTACATGTCGTGCTGTGCAGCAAAATGTGACATGACATGGACACTATGTCACTCGGTTATACACTATTCAGTAAGTCGCTTTGGATAAAAGCGTCTGCTAAATGGCATATTATATATATATTATTATTATATTATATAACCCAATGTACTGTACCGTTCATTCCCTATATAACACCTAAATGATAGGCTGCCTATTTCATATATAGTGCATTACTTTTGACCAGGGCAGATACAGATGTAGGATATTAATTTGATGACAGGAAATGTAAAACTTGTAGTGTATTTAAGGTTTAGAAAGGCTTCTAAAGTTTGTAATTTACACTTTGAAATTTCAGGCTTGATTTTGACTTACGAAAAATGTATCAACCCCTACAAAAATGTCCATTAATTATAAGCCACATAATAATTCACATTTCCTGTTGCTGTAGGACTATTTTCCTGCTGTAGCAAACTGGCTCAAATTAAGATCCTACATCTGTAGGACTCTGGTCAAAAATAGTGTACTACATAGGGAATAGGGTGCCATTTGGGACACAACCATAGCCATTTGAGGATCAGATTGTACAGTTTGACTTCTGTTCTGCCTCATCTCTGACACAGAATCCAAACCATAAAGGCCTGTCATATGATTAGATCAAATAAAGCCTGGTAATTATCTTAATGTACAGTATATTAAGTTTGGTCACAACAATGGACAACAAAAATCTCAAGAGCTTTGCTTTGGTAAGAACTATTTAAAATACAAAACTATTGTGTAAAGCATATCCATATATCCTGGCTATGGCTTTATTTTAAAGCTGTTTTATCAGGTATTTACATAGACACTATGGTAAAAATGTTAATTACATAATAATGACCTTAAATAGTCCTGTAAAATAAAACAACCAATCTAATTTAGTATAACAAAACTACATTTTTGTATTGTGGCCTCCCTATGCCATTGTGTATTTCATCAAGCTGAGATGAAAATGCTGTATTCCTATAATATAAAATAAATGTACATTTTAGTCATTTAGCAGACAATAGTGCTCAAACAAATCTCAATAAGTGAAATTTGTGAGGACATTTAATCATTTCATAATTCATGGTGTTTTGCACAAATGGCTCATATACACAACTGGATACTGAGGCAATTCACGACAAATGGCTCGCTCAAGGGCACAACTGTAGTAGGCTGTCCAACCTGGGATATAAACACCTGTCTACCATCTGAACTGAACAAGCTATATCCCATATCAGCTAAAGGCTAGACCAGGGGTTCCCAAACGTTTTAATTCCGGCCCCACTTCCAGCATTGGGGAACATCCTGCGCCCCCCCCTGCACACACGCCACGTCTATTTCTATGGGCAAAAGCACTGTTCATGACAAAAACGGTTCACACCCCTCGTTGGCGTTTTTTTTTTTTTTTTTTTTTTACTTTTTGCAGGTTTAAAGCTTTTTCTTGCAATTCTATACATTTTGCCATGTCTAATGTTTATTCATGTGATATGAGTGACTCAAACATTACAACAAAATCTATCGGCTAAAAAAACCTAGCAAAAAAAACCACTGACATTGGCTAGATCTGGACATTTCTGACAAGTTATAAATAGCTCTCTAATGACAAGAGGAAAACTACCCAATGCACTACCCAATTTCGAAATTGCAATTCTACTATTACAACTTTCAAGAGTAAGTTGAAAGCCGGACCGTTTCTTTTTTGGGGGGGCACACCCCCCTTGCTGACCCCTCGCCCCAGTTTGGGAATCACTGGACTAGACCATACTGCATTAGTGCCTTGAGCTATGTCATCAGAGGACGTCTCTATCTATTCTAATCATTACTCATGCACTTTGTTCTACTGAAACAATTCCTATTCATAACGACTGACATGGAAAACCAGAATAGGATACGACAAGAAATAAAAAGGGAGGTTGATCCAGTGCCCTCTGATGTCCTCCGCTAGTCAGCAGTGGTGTGTGCTCAGCCTGCTCTGAGAGTGGAGGCAGCCCCCTACTGTCCTCCCATACTGTAGGGGGCGCCCAGCTCCTCTCCTGGCACTGTGGCAGAGGCTGAGGCCCAGCCACTTGGCTGGATGGCCCCACCGGAGGCTCTGAGGCTGCACCATGCCCGCCCTGTATCTGCTGGCGCTAAGAATAGATGGTGATCACCTCCCTGCCTCCTCCACGCACCAGCAGCACCCGGTCCAGCCCATCCATAAGAACCTCCAGGAACTCCATGTCTACAGGCCATGGGGTCAAGGAGAAACAACTGCAGTCTGGATATAGAAATTGATGTGGAAGAGTACTAATGGCATCTATGGTACAATCATTTGAATTGTCAAAAGTAAAAATAAATGGGGGCAATAACCTAAAATTGTCTGGAATTTCATTCAGCTGGAGATGCCCCAAACTACTTTATGGTGTCCAATGTAACGTATAGCTTCCATCCATGTCAGTCTATATTACTGTAAGATGATACTGACTAAGTGGACACTCAGTTGTCCAGTTCAGAGTATACTAGTGGTTAAAAAAAAAAGGATACAATTCTCGTCTCCTCCCTTGCTTTTGGGCGGTCCAGGCATGTTCAGCAGCACCAGCTGAGCTCCTTGGGACTTGTTGACCACAACCTCGTTCAACTTGACTGCGGTGTGCATCCTCCGCACGTTAGACTGGTTCCTATGAGAGTACAGGTTGAACTAAACAATAACAATTCTTACATGTCTGCTACTTGGGCTGTGTCCCAAATGGCACCCTATTCCTTTTATAGTGCATTACTTTTGGCCAGAGCCCTATGGGCCCTGTCAAAAGTAGTGTACTATATAGGGAATAGGTTGCCATTTGAGACAACCTTAGACTATGCCTTATATCCTACTACAGGATGCTATTATAAACATGACATCACACCCGTCATAAGCATTCATGATAAGTGACTTAACGGCGTCATGATAAGTGACTCAAATGTAATCACACGCTTACCAAGAATGGACAGTAAGCCAATTAGCTACGCTAAGTCATTGTATATTGAATGCCTCAATAGACATGCTACAGTATAGATAGAACGTTGATGATTTGCCTTTAGTATCAATATCACACCTCACTAACTGATACATCAAGGTATATATGTTATACACTGCTCAAAAAAATAAAGGGAACACTTAAACAACACAATGTAACTCCAAGTCAATCACACTTCTGTGAAATCAAACTGTCCACTTAGGAAGCAACACTGATTGACAATACATTTCACATGCTATTGTGCAAATGGAATAGACAACAGGTGGAAATTATAGGCAATTAGCAAGACACCCCCAATAAAGAAGTGGTTCTGCAGGTTGTGACCACAGACCACTTCTCAGTTCCCATGCTTCCTGGTTGATGTTTTGGTCACTTTTGAATGCTGGTGGTGCTTTCACTCTAGTGGTAGCATGAGACGAAGTCTACAACCCACACAAGTGGCTCAGGTAGTGCAGCTCATCCAGGATGGCACATCAATGCGAGCTGTGGCAAGAAGATTTGCTGTGTCTGTCAGCATAGTGTCCAGAGCATGGAGGCGCTACCAGGAGACAGGCCAGTACATCAGGAGACGTGGAGGAGGCCGTAGGAGGGCAACAACCCAGCAGCAGGACCGCTACCTCCGCCTTTGTGCAAGGAGGAGCACTGCCAGAGCCCTGCAAAATGACCTCCAGCAGGCCACAAATGTGCATGTGTCTGCTCAAACGGTCAGAAACAGACTCCATGAGGGTGGTATGAGGGCCCGACGTCCACAGGTGGGGGTTGTGCTTACAGCCCAACACCGTGCAGGACGTTTGGCATTTGCCAGAGAACACCAAGATTGGCAAATTCGCCACTGGCGCCCTGTGCTCTTCACAGATGAAAGCAGGTTCACACTGAGCACGTGACAGAGTCTGGAGACGCCGTGGAGAACGTTCTGCTGCCTGCAACATCCTCCAGCATGACCGGTTTGGCGGTGGGTCAGTCATGGTGTGGGGTGGCATTTCTTTGGGGGGCCGCACAGCCCTCCATGTGCTCGCCAGAGGTAGCCTGACTGCCATTAGGTACCGAGATGAGATCCTCAGACCCCTTGTGAGACCATATGCTGGTGCGGTTGGCCCTGGGTTCCTCCTAATGCAAGACAATGCTAGACCTCATGTGGCTGGAGTGTGACAGCAGTTCCTACAAGAGGAAGGCATTGATGCTATGGACTGGCCCGCCCGTTCCCCAGACCTGAATCCAATTGAGCACATCTGGGACATCATGTCTCGCTCCATCCACCAACAGTCTATATTACTGTAAGATGATACTGACTAAGTGGACACTCAGTTGTCCAGTTCAGAGTATACTAGTGGTTTAAAAGTTGCACCACAGACTGTCCAGGAGTTGGCGGATGCTTTAGTCCAGGTCTGGGAGGAGATCCCTGAGGAGACCATCCGCCAACTCATCAGGAGCATGCCCAGGCGTTGTAGGGAGGTCATACGGGCACGTGGAGGCCACACACACTACTGAGCCTCATTTTGACTTGTTTTAAGGACATTACATCAAAGTTGGATCAGCCTGTAGTGTGGTTTTCCACTTTAATTTTGAGGGTGACTCCAAATCCAGACCTCCATGGGTTGATACATTTGATTTCCATTGATAATTTTAGTGTGATTTTGTTGTCAGCACATTCAACTATGTAATGAAAAAAGTATTTAATAAGATTATTTCATTCATTCAGATCTAGGATGTGTTGTTTAAGTGTTCCCTTTATTTTTTTGAGCAGTGTATATAATATACTTATGATTATAGCAAACAGTCTAGGCAAGTTAGGCAAGGTCATGCATGCAGAGAGAACGTTATCCTTTCCATGCATATCAACTGCGAGGAGGAGAGAAGTGAAGAAAGACAACCCTCGCTTCTCCAATAAAAACTATAAGGTCATGACATGGAAAGGATCACACACACACGAAGGCACGCACACACTGTCACAGTTGAGACAAAGGGAAACACACCATCACACAGTTGAGACAAAGGGAAACTTGACTTACAGACTCTCCCACTCGCTAGAAGGGAGGAAACAAAACATAAAGGTTAATCACATTCTTTCATATACAAATAGGGACAACTGGGCATCAATGATGGATTACAGACTGATGACAGGTTATTCACTATATAACATCCTAAGAACAAAGACTAGTTCAAGTAATGGTACATGACAGACTATTTCAAATAACAGTAGCTACTGTAGCTATGATTCAGTATATGTGCAGTAGACAGGTGCATCTATGGATTTCACACTACCATTACAAGGCCAGTACAGAACAGCATGGCTCGGTTAGACTGAGGAGTTTGAAAGGGCTACTTCTGGTCTAACAGCGTGCTGCAGTGTGAGCCTGGAGCCTCTAGGGGGAGATACCTACGGTTTCATATTGAACAGGTCCTTCACGCCCACGTTGGGCTCGCCGCGGTTACGGTTCCTCTCGGCGATCAGCTTGTCTTTGGTCCAGGTCATGTGGACGCGGTGGTCGGGCGTGGCGGTAGCGTTGTCGTTGAGGCTGGCGTGGGAGTTTGTGCCCAGCTTAGTGATCAGCTGAGCCTGGGGAATAACACTGGTGTCACTACAGACCAAGGCAGGATGCTAAACAAAGTGGTGCCTCCCATCAGACAGGATCAGGAGGCTGGCACAACTGTAGAATGGAGATTATCCTAGTTTTGCATTATTCGACAAGAATGATAATGTTACTCCTAACAATAGATCCACAATGTATTATGGATGATATTCTCATTGTTGCATTACTTCATTTGTCTCCTCCATGGAAAAGTCATGAAATACATTTCAATGCTTCAAAATGAAAATAACAAAGTGACATAAAAACAATGCATTACATAGAAACAAAATGAAGTGTACTACAGCAAACAATAATAAAAACATAGTGCAAATAAATTGTAGTGAAGTTGAAACATATGGGAAAGATGAGGAAAAATGGGACTACATTTCTAGTTAAAGGTTTGGGGTTGGCAGTTCTCTAAAATGCTCAAAATTCTTAGATATTTTTAGAACAATCTTTTTAGAACTAAGTCTAATAGCTGCTACAAAGCCGATAACTCTCAGGTAAGTTGATCGAGGAATGCGGTGACAATGACACAGAGGGCCACAGCCATAGAGATCCTATAATTCAGTTCCATTTAATACTTATTTTGTCACAGACAAATTCATTCAGAGCAATGCTTCCCAGCACTGCTTCCAGAAACACATACAGAATTGGAGTACGCTTCTACTGGAACATCTCTGTCATTCCTTAAGATTTCCCAAAATTCCCAAATCACAGCAATTTTTTTGGTATTTAATAACTGTGGCTCTGTCCATGTCAGATACAGGTATGAGCTAGACTAGAGGGTGGCGAGGGAGAGGGAGATGCTTATGGGATGTTTATGGGACATCACATGGCTGCTTGGCTACCTCCTCATCCACTCGCATGTCCCTGGATATGGACAGGCTTGGGACCTGTAGTGTGTTTGGGGCCTGTAGTGTCTCCACCACTGATGACTTCTTCCTCTTGATGGAGTTACGCGACTCGTCTCTGATGCTCTGAATCTGAAGCCCAACCCAATGCAAGCCCAGAACATCCAACACAGCAGCAGGAAATCAGGACAGGCCAAAATGTCACAACAGTCAGCCAATATTACGAGCCCCCCACAACAAGGAAGTAAAGAACTACTGTAACAGGAAGGACCACAGATATAGTCTGTCCCGTGTGTGAACTGCAATCTTTGTCTTTGTTTTAAACACAGTGCATAGACCTACAGTTAACATTCAAAGCAGTGATTATGTGTTTGCTTGTCAAAATAAATTATGCTTTATCCACTACTGAACCACCTGGTTATAATGACCGGGTTAAACAGAACCTGACAGAGTAAAGCAGCACGTTACCTCTCTCTCCCTCTCATTCCTGGACAGCTGCATCTGTTTCAGCATCTGAGAGCGCTGCTCCATCACCAGGGTCTTCTCATAGGTGAATGCTGCGATGTCACTATCGTGCTGAGGACAGAAATACAAAGCAATATGAAGAATTTGGCACAATATTTTGGGCAAAACCCTGACAAATGGTTTCTTATTAATCCAATATAACAAGTATGATTGAGTAAGTGTGACTACAGCTGCTTACCATCTCCACCACCTCCACTACAGCATTGAGACGGAGGTGATAAAGGAACATCTGCAGGTCCTTCTTCATCTGAATACTGTTGTCATCCATCTGAGCCACGGTGAAGATCCGCATCTTACACTTCCTCCACACCTGGGACAGAGGAGGACATGGAAAAGAGAGATAGCAGTGAGGGAAACAAGTATTTGATCCCCTGCTGATTTTGTACGTTTGCCCACTGACAAAGAAATGATCAGTCTATAATTTTAATGGTAGGTTTATTTGAACAGTGAGAGACAGAATAACAACAACAAAAATCCAGAAAAACGCATGTCAAAAATGTTATAAATTGATTTGCATTTTAATGAGGGAAATAAGTATTTGACCCCTCTGCAAAACATGACTTAGTACTTGGTGGCAAAACCCTTGTTGGCAATCAGAGGTCAGACGTTTCTTGTAGTTGGCCACCAGGTTTGCACACATCTCAGGAGGGATTTTGTCCCACACATCTTCTCCAAGTCATTAGGGTTGAGGCTGACGTTTGGCAACTCAAACCTTCAGCTCCCTCCACAGATTTTCTATGGGATTAAGGTCTGGAGACTGGCTAGGCCACTCCAGGACCTTAATGTGCTTCTTCTTGAGCCACTCCTTTGTTGCCTTGGCCGTGTGTTTTGGGACATTGTCATGCTGGAATACCCATCCACGACCCATTTTCAATGCCCTGGTTGAGAGAAGGAGGTTCTCACCCAAGATTTGACGGTACATGGCCCTGTCCATCGTCCCTTTGATGCGGTGAAATTGTCCTGTCCCCTTAGCAGAAAAACACCCCCAAAGCATAATGTTTCCACCTCCATGTTTGACGGTGGGGATGGTGTTCTTGGGGTCATAGGCAGCATTCCTCCTCCTCCAAACACGGCGAGTTGAGTTGATGCCAAAGAGCTCGATTTTGGTCTCATCTGACCACAACACTTTTACCCAGTTCTCCTCTGAAACATGCAGATGTTCATTGGCAAACTTCAGACAGGCATGTATATGTGCTTTCTTGAGCAGGGGGACCTTGCGGGCGCTGCAGGATTTCAGTCCTTCACGGCGTAGTGTGTTACCAATTGTTTTCTTGGTGACTATGGTCCCATCTGCCTTGAGATCCTCCCGTGTAGTTCTGGGCTGATTCCTCACCGTTCTCATGATCATTGCAACTCCACGAGGTGAGATCTTGCATGAAGCCCCAGGCCGAAGGAGATTGACAGTACTTTTGTGTTTCTTCCATTTGCGAATAATCGCACCAACTATTGTCACCTTCTCACCAAGCTGCTTGGCGATGGTCTTGTAGCCCATTCCAGCCTTGTGTAGGTCTACAATCTTGTCCCTGACATCCTTGGAGAGCTCTTTGGTCTTGGCCATGGTGGAGAGTTTGGAATCTGATTGATTGATTGCTTCTGTGGACAGGTGTCTTTTATACAGGTTAGGAGCACTCCCTTTAAGAGTGTGCTCCTAATCTCAGCTCATTACCTGTATAAAAGACACCTGGGAGCCAGAAATCTTTCTGATTGAGAGGGGGTCAAATACTTATTTCCCTCATTAAAATGCAAATCAATTTATAACATTTGTGTTTTTCTTGATTTTGTTGTTGTTATTCTGTCTCTCACTGTTCAAATAAACCTACCATTAAAATTATAGACTGATCATTTCTTTGTCAGTGGGCAAACGTACAAAATCAGCAGGGGATCAAATACTTTTTTTTCCCTCACTGTAGATAGAAGGAAAGAAACAATGTGTGTCTGTGAAACTGGTCTAAATGCTATAGTGCTTTAGGTCCAATATCAGTTGTGGAAATTGTTTAATGGCCCCCTGCAATTAACTTTGAAAACCTGGCCTCCATTAGAATGCTAGTTTATTTTTTTACTTCATTTTTACAAAGCAACAGTACCCATGGGTATATGGTGCCACTGCCATAGTACCTTGTGTTGGCGCAGTAAGAAAGGCAGCAGCATGAGAAGACCTCCATCATGGACAATCCACCACACATCTATAGTGCCCTCCTCCAGACGGTCCTGATTGCTGGGGAACTTGTCAATGTTCTTAGCAACCAGCAGGGCCTGATGGGCTGACGTAGTCTCTCTCACCGTCTCTGTGGGATAAGGAACCCACATAACAAGAAACCCATATAATTAGGTCCCACAGTTTTGACAGACTCTGGGTCAGGTCATTTGCTCAGGAAAAACACTTGACTCTACCATAAGACATTCACTTGCTTGATATTCTCGGAACAAAAAACAAAATCTCACTCAAGGTACAATAAATGGCATTAATATATAGTTGGTCCCACCTTTGCTTCTATAACAGCCTCCACTCTTCTGGAAAGGCTTTCCACTAGATGATGGAACATTGCTGCGGGGACTTACTTCCATTTAGCCACAAGAGCATTAGTGAGGTCGGGCACAGATGTTGGGCGATTAGGCCTGGGTTGAGGTCAGGGCTCTGTGCAGGCCAGTCAAGTTCTTCCACACCGATCTCGACAAACCATTTCTGTATGGACCTCGCTTTGTGCACGGGGGCATTGTCATGCTGAAACAGGAAAGGGCCTTCCCCAAACTGTTGCCACAAAGTTGGAAGCACAGTATCATCTAGAATGTCATTGTATGCTGTAGCGTTAAGATTTTCCTTCAGTGGAACTAAGGGACCTAGCCCGAACCATTTAAAACAGCCCCAGACCATTATTCCTCCTCCACCAAACTTTACAGTTGACACTATGCATTGGGGCAGGTAGCGTTCTCCTGGTATCCGCCAAACCCAGATTCGTCCGTCGGACTGCCAGATGGTGAAGCATGATTCATCACTCCAGAGAATGCGTTTCCACCGCTCCAGAGTCCAATGGCGGTGATCTTAGGCTTGTGTGCGGCTGCTCGGCCATGAAAACCCATTTCATGAAGCTCCCGACTAACAGTTATTGTGCTGACGTTGCTTCCGGAGGCAGTTTGGAACTCAGTAGTTAGTGTTGCAACCGAGGACAGACGATTTTAACGCGCTTCAGCACTCGGCGGTCCCGTTCTGTGAGCTTGTGTGGCCTACCACTTCGTGCCTGAGCAGTTGGTGCTCCTAGGCGTTTCCACTTCACAATAACAGCACTTACAGTTGACCGGGGCAGCTCTAGCAGGGCAGAAATTTGACGAACTGACTTGTTGGAAAGGTGGCATCCTATGACGATGCCATGTTGAAAGTCACTGAGCTCTTCAGTACGGGCCATTCTAATGACAATGTTTGTCTATGGAGATTGCATGGCGGTGTGCTCGATTTCATACACCTGTCAGCAACGGGTGTGGCTGAAATAGCTGAATCCACTCATTTGAAGGCTTACTTATGGCCATGTAATGAGAGAGACGTTGTGATTAACGGTTGTGGTGATGGATGGGAAGTGATGGATGGGAAAAAGGCCTTTAAACCGCCGGAGACAGAGATCAATTTGAAGGGGAGATTTGACTGGCAGATGAGCGTCAACATACAGTTGAAGTCGGAAGTTTACATACACTTAGGTTTGAGTCATTAAAACTCGTTTTCAACCACTCCACAAATTTCTTGTTAACAAACTATAGTTTTGCCAAGTCGGTTAGGACATCAACTTTGTGCATGACACAAGTAATTTTTCCAACAATTGTTTACAGACAGATTATTTCATTTATAATTCACTGTATCACAATTCCAGTGGGTCAGAAGTGTACATACACTAAGTTAACTGTGCCTTTAAACAGCTTGGAAAATTCCAGAAAATGATGTCATGCTTTAGAAGCTTCTGATAGGCTACTTAACATAATTTGAGTCAATTGGAGGTGTACCTGTGGATGTATTTCAAGGCCTACCTTCAAACTCAGTGCCTCTTTGCTTGACATCATGGGAAAATCAAAAGAAATCAGCCAAGACCTCAGAAAAAAATGTGTAGACCGCCACAAGTCTAGTTCATCCTTGGGAGCAATTTCCAAATGCCTGAAGGTACCACATTCATCTGTACAAACAATAGTACGCAAGTATAAACACCATGGGACCGCGCAGCCATCATACCGCTCAGGAAGGAGACGCGTTCAGTCTCCTAGAGATAAACGTACTTTGGTGCGAAAAGTGCAAATCAATCCCAGAACAACAGCAAAGGACCTTGTGAAGATGCTGGAGGAAACATGTACAAAAGTATCTATATCCACAGTAAAACGAGTCCTATATCGACATAACCTGAAAGGCCGCTCAGCAAGGATGAAGCCACTGCTCCAAAACCGCCATAAAAAAGCCAGACTACGGTTTGCAACTGCAAACAAAGATCGTGGGAACAAAGATCGTACGTTTTGGAGAAATGTCCTCTGGTCTGATTAAACAAAAATAGAAGTGTTTTGCCATAATGACCAGCGTTATGTTTGGAGGAAAAAGGTGGTTGCTTGCAAGCCGAAGAACACCATCCCAACCGTGAAGCACGGGGGTGGCAGCATCGTGCTGTGGGGGTACTTTGCTGCAGGAGGGACTGGTGCACTTCACAAAATAGATGGCATCATGAAGAAGGAAAATTATGTGGATATATTGAATCTGAAGACATCAGTCAGGAAGTTAAAGCTTGGTCGCAAATGGGTCTTCCAAATGGACAATGACCCCAAGTGTACTTCCAAAGTTGTGGCAAAATGGCTTAAGGACAACAAAGTCAAGGTATTGGAGTGGCCATCACAAAGCCCTGACCTCAATCCTATAGAAAATGTGTGGGAAGAACTGAAAAAGCATGTGCGAGCAAGGATGCCTACAAACCTGACTCAACTTATTGTGGGAAGCTTGTGGAAGGCTACCCGAAAAGTTTGACTCAAGTTAAACAATTTAAAGGCAATGCTACCAAATACTAATTGAGTGTATGTAAACTTCTGACCCACTGGGAATGTGATGAAAGAAATAAAAGCTGAAAGAAATCACTCTACTATTATTCTGACATTTCACATTCTTAAAATAATGTGGTGATCCTAACTGACCTAAAACAGGGAATTTTTACTAGGATTAAATGTCAGTAATTGTGAAAAACTGAGTTTAAATGTATTTGGCTAAGGTGTATGTAAACTTCCGACTTCAACTGTAGGTATTTTTCAAATGTATGTGAATGTCTTCAGGAGAAACTACGTTAGTATGACATACTTGATGATACTACTAAAATGTACTGTAGACTATTATAGTAAAGTATGGTAGAGTATAGTAGAGTATGAAATGTACTACTGACCGATGAAGTTCTTCCAGGGGTAGGAGTCCTCAGCCTGTTTCCAGCCCCCAGGCCAGGCCATGAGGACGGTGTTGTGTTTCATGCCCCCCAGCCCTGCCGACTGAATCAGGTGGGAGAAACCATCCCGCAGGTTAGAGGACACCACCACGTGGCAGAAACCTTTGGTACGTTCTGCATGCATGGCCGACTTGACATTCTGCACCAAGCAAAGAGGAACAACCAGGAGGAAAGAGGATGAAAGAGGAAAATGGATGAAAGAGTGAAATAAATAGTTTCCATAAATACTATTTTTTACATTTGCAAGACACTGATAGTAGATGAAACATTTTGATGCAAGTATACTACGCAAAGTATGCAGAAAGTATGAAGGAAAATCCCCAATGATCGCTTTTTCGTAGTTGTTATGTAAGCTTTATGAATGCTTTCTAAACTTGGACATGAAGTCAAGAGTGAGTGACCAAAATCACGTTTTAACATGTGTGGCTAATAAGTGGAAACATCTATACAGCTCACTGCAGGAATCTCTACAGAGCCAGTGGAGTTTGGCCTTGCATAGCGTTTTATTGACATCTTTGTGCTTGAATTAGACCAGTCAGAATGTTTCATTGACCATGGCTGGAGGGTAGCATGACAGAGCAAAAACAGAAAGGCAGCTTTCATCAGACTGTAATCTGGGATGAGGAAGAGGACAGAGAGTGAGGTGAACAGAGATAATGTATTTCTCTTCACCAGTTTGATTGTAAATTAAGGTTGTAACTTACTGAGTATATTATTCATCTCTAACGACTTGCCTCTAATATTTTAGCGCACCCATCTGACCTCCCAGCAGGTGGCAGAGTTCTCTGTTATGGGATAATTAATTGAGAACTCCATCCTCCCCTGGCTTTATAAACTGCAGATGGAGTCTCTTTACTCTTTGAGTGGGTGGCTAAATTACACCTGCTTCCAGCGAGCACGGGTCTGAGAAATCAGTAGCCAAGGGTGAATCTGTTCCAACTGCGGCTGTTCTGGACACCTCACCTGGTCTGAACACTGATTCTCTGCCACCCTGGTCATGTGATATGAGTGTCTCTCACCTGCTCTGCACTCTTGGCCTCAGCCCCCAGGGTCATGTAGGTGCCCTCCAACACAGAGCTGACGATGGTCAGACCTTTCCCTGCCTTCAGCTGGGTGGTAAAGGACAGCAGACGAGGGTGTTTCACCCCCAGGTCTGAATCCAGCTTCAGTAGCACCAGTAACTGAGGCCTGGGGGGAGAGATACAGTACAGTCAGTGTATGTTCAGATCGATAGACATCAAGACAAGCAACTAAACTTGGTCATCAGGCAGGACAGCAAGACAATCAAATGTCAGTCATCATCCATCTGTCTTCAGAGTGACAGCTCTATATTGCAAACCTAAAGTACAGAAACATTAGACCAAGGAAGGAGATATCATTCATGTGCACACATTAATGGTCTCAAATATCAAAGAAATGTTCTTCATATTTAACAAGTTCATGTACAATGTGTCTAAGTTGAAAATAATATAACTGAGTATGACTCTGGCCCTCAGTCCAGGAGTCATCCTCACCCTACACTGCTCTCAGCCTCTCACCTCCAGTTCTTAGTATGTGGCTGCACTTCCTCCAGGCGGATTAGAGCGTAGCGGGCAGCGTTCAGGGACAGACCTCTGATCCCATCTCCCCACTCCTTCTCTGCCCTGAGAGGAAAGAGACCAGAGAGAGGGTTAAAAAAGCAGGAAATCTCACATTTAGATACCAAAGCCAATACACCAAACAGTAACCAAACTGTATTATTACAACACACTGTCCAGAAAATGGGTTAAAGAAAGGCAGGGACACTACATAGATATAATACTGTGTTCTATTTAATTATGTGGGGAGTGGGGACATTACTAATTTCATTACAGTAGTATAACGTTATTGAGCTGTTATTGGAAAATCAAACTCTTACCCTCTGTACTCAATGTACTTATAGATGCATCCAGCGATGGACATGGCTACCAGAGCATAGTACCAAGAGGAGATGAACATGAGGGAGACACACAGACTCATCCCCAGGAACGACAGCGTCCTGCAGGGACCAGAGAACAGGACAACAGCTTATTGAATGGGCTTATTTTTTGGATAGGCATTAGCTCAGTGTTACTACATCCTCGTATTGGGCACCTTTGAGCTGTGCAGGCTTTTGTTCCAGCCCAGCACTGACACACCTGATTCAACTAATCAAGTGTGTGACGATGTGGATTTATGCCCACTTGTCACGAACGCGCACACTACCATTAGGCTTTATATTCAAATAGCGCTTTCTATTTCCCCTATGCATTTTGCCATTTATTTCTAGAAGCATTATACTCAACACTGCGCATGACAATATAATTATTTAGCTCCTTTGTTAGCAATAAGCTATTGTTTATAGTTCATGCTCAGTTCGGTAAGAAAATGTTTGTATGGAAAGGTATTTCCGTATAATCGATTCCAAACATAAATGCGGTGATTTACCTTTCTCTAGCCTACGAGAGTGAAACGTTGATTCGGTGCACAGAATCATCGTAACACTCACGAGTTAGAGACTCTGTTTCAGTCTGTTAATGCTTTCCGTTGTTCATACTTCCCACGTCGCGTTGGTGCAAGGTGTGTCATGTCTTGTCTGTGTCATTTTAGTTGTGCATTGTGCAACAGGATCGAGCGAGCCTTTGTGCACCACTACATGTTATTGGGTTGCGGCCATTCGCCGGTTCCATTCATGTAAGAATTCATGATTCATGTTTAACGTGCGCCCAATTTAAAGTGTACATGGAAGTGGTCACATCTGTTTTAAACGAATGTATGTAATTGGGTAATTATGAGGAAGACAGTTACATTTCTATACCAATTATGTGGTTACTTGTCATTGGACATGGGTATGTACCAGGGAGGGGCTTAGCGGATATAAGCCCTGTTTTGGGTTTCTAGGTAGATTGGGTTTGGTATACGCGCAACGTGTAAGAACTACGTAAGCTACAGGGTAAACCTGGTTTAGGCTTAGTGCAGTTTGTTATTTTGTGTGAGTAGTACGTTTATTGTCCACCCGTTTGTCTTGTAAATATGAATCGCCGGCTATCACTATGAAAAAATATGGACACCTTTGCACCAGAACCTTCTGCCTCCTTCTGAATATCTACATTACCTATTTCACAAAGTGCTTCATGATTAGTTGATTGGATGAATTAGGTGTTTTAGTGCTGGGCTGTAACTTAATATTGGTCCAGGGTGTAAGATCCCTGAATTGACACTTTTGGCATGGAAAATAATAACTCACCAATGGTAGAACTTAAACCTGGGCCTCCAGTTGGGAGTGCGTAGCAGTGTCTGGACGGCACAGGCCAGGTTGACAAACAGGTAGCACATCAGGAAAAACCTGAAACCCAGCCCCACAGAGAAGATTAATAGAAGTGACTTATAGGCTTACAAAAGGACAATGAGCTAATACTGTACACAACTGACAGGAAAAAACACTCCCATCCCATTACTATAGCGAGAAAGACTCAGATTTGCAGTATCACCTTCTACACACATACTGAACACACTCACATTGAGAGAATGGGGGCAACAGCATCCAGTGATGCAATGAGGATTCCAATCTCACAGATCCCAGCAGTCATCAAGAGGGCCCAGGTAGGTTCCCCATTGGCTTTACCATGACCAAACACCTGGAGGAGGGGAGGGAGAGAAGAAAGAGAGACTAGCTGAAGTGGTTATGTTATTGAGATGCAATAGCAAGGGTATGGCACAGTCTCTAGGAAAATCTTACCTGTAGAAAGGGGACAATCCCGTCACGTGCTATGGCCTGCAGCAGACGAGGGGCTCCAGTAAGACTCTGCAGCCCTGCCCCACAGCAGGAGAAGAAGGAGCCAATCACTATCACCCATGGAGAAGGCCATGCCAGAGTTCCAATCACCAAGTTTTTCTTGACGGAGTCCCCAAATCTGTAGCAGAAACAGACACAGTTGAATGTTATACAAACACAGGTACTGTATTGTTTAGAACGAGACCGAAAGAAAGACAGGCAAATTGAGAGACATAAATCTGAGCACATACACATAATGAAAAACCCATGCAAGCGTAATAATCTTTAGCTGTTCTGTCCAATCAGCTTAACACCCTTTATGTCATGACATTTTACTCTATTAGCACACAATGTTCTCTTTCTAACGCTGTCCGTTTACATGTGGTCTGTCCTTCTAGATGCACAACAAGGGTCTATCAATACGGTGCCTTCAGAAAGTATTCATACCCATTGACTTATTCCACATTTTGTTGTATTACAGCTTGAATTCAAAATGGATTGTTCTCACCTTCTACACACAATAACCCATAATGACAAAGAGAAAACATGTTTTTACAAATTGATTGAAAATGAAATCTAATTTACATAAGTATTGACACCCCTGAGTCAATACTTTGTAGAAGCACCTATGGCGGCGATTACAGCTGTCAGTCTTTTTGAGTAAGTCTCTAAGAGCTTTGCACACCTGGATTGTACAATATTTGCCCATTATTCCTAAAAAAAATATTTAAGCTCTGTCAAGTTGATTGTTGATCATTGCTAGACAGCAATTTTCAAGTCTTGACTTAGATTTTCAAGCCGATTTTTAAGTCAAAATTGTAACTAGGCCACTCTGGAACATTTAATGTTGTCTTGGTAAGCAACTCCAGTGTAGATTTGGCCTTGTGTTTTAGGATATGTTTTAGGATATTATTTTTATCCTAAAATACTTCCTAGTCCTTGCCGATGACAAGGTATATTGATACACCATCCAAAGCCTAATTAATAACTTCACCATGCTCAAAGCCATATTCAGCATTTTTTACACATCTACCAATCGGTGCCCTTCCTGGCATTACAAAACCTCCCTGGTCTTTGTGGTTGAATCTGGGCTTGAAATCCACTACTCGATTGAGAGACATTACAGATAATTATATGTGTGTGGTACAGAGATGGTCCATTCAACTTCTTATGCAATTTGTTAAGCACATTTTTACTGTTATTTAGGCTTGCCATAACAAAGGTGTTGAATACTTATTGACTAAAGATATTTCAGCTTTTAATTTTTTATTAATTGAAAACATTTTCCACTTTGACAGTATGGAGTATCGTGTGTAGATCAGTGACAAAAACATCTCAATTGAATCAATTTTAAATTAGGCTGTAACACAACAAAATGTGGAAAACATAAAGGGGTGTAAATACTTTCTGAAGGCACTGTATGTATGACACAAAGGTCTTTGATATACAAGTTATACACAGCAGGGATGGCTTCTGCATCAACGCTACTGTACATAATGGCATAACAGCTGTTGCCATGTTGTAAATAATAACTGTGGAATAGTAGTTACTTGTCTCTCAAAACGACACCCTCGATACAGGCACCAAATAGCACAACACAGGTCATGTCTGGGAGTTGGGGTTAAGAAAGAAATAGTGCTGTCAAAGTTAACAAATGCAGAACACATACCCTCTCCCACACTAAAACACACATGCCAGCACTCCATGCATGTATGCACACCACTCCACACATGCACGTCATCATATCTATGGTTTCTCCAAGGATACAAATGAAAGAAGTGGTTGCTATGGCCAGGATGGTACCGAAAGGAATAGACCTCTGGGCATCTCGGAGGTCTCCAGATCTGTTGGAGCCTGCCATGATTCCTGTCATGGAAAACACATAGATTCATACAGAAGCTGAAATTCAGGAAATCACCAACATATTTAAATGTTGTCTGCAGCAGAAAACAACACCAAAACTAAAAACACAAAAGCGTAAGTTACAGTAACTCTTCCAAAGGATAAGTTACAGTAACACCCTTACAATCAGTGTGAGGGTGACAAACAATAACTCAATGATGTCATATGGTGGTAGCTACACAATGATATCTATGGTGACAGTATGGCTGCTCTACCAACCCGTGACGGAGGGGAAGTAGATTCCCACCAGCAGAGTGAAGAAGGTGGAGATGTCGTTGAAGACGTAAGGCATGTAGATATCTCTGGAGTTATCCTGGGCTGGGACAGACGACTGCCTCTTCTTCTCCACCAACATCCCACTGGGCCCGTAGTCACCCCACATGTTGTCTGACAGGGGACACAGAAGACTCACATTATAGTAGACTAAACACTAAGGACACCTGCTCTCAATAATCATTTGTTAAGTGAGTAAGTAGTAAGCAAGTAGTAGTAGTGCCAATAAGTGGGCTCTGACACAGAATCAGATAACTTTATTGCCACGCAACAATTGTTTTCTAGGAATTTGTCTTGGTGCTCCGCTGACCTTTGATGACCCCACTGAGCAGGCCTGGGATGCCCTGGATCTCAGTGACGTTGTTCAGGGTGAAGTACTCATCGCAGGTGGCATTGAGGTGGGAGCTGTCACAGAACAGCTCCCACAGCTTAGTGGTATACGTCACGTTCTTGATCACCTCTGTCTTCACACACTTCTCAAAGTTGTGGTTCTGCAAGGAACGGTTCCCCAGAAGACAGATTCTGTGGGAAACATATACATATATTCATGAGGATATTTTATTGTGTAAAGAACTAAGAATATTTTCCTTTTGGCCACTGTAACCACTGTAAAGAGTCTATAAATATCTGTCTCACTGATATCAATGTGTGATCACGTTAGTATTCAGCTCTATAAGATCAGATGACTGATGATGGTCCTATACAGTGTGCACATTAATCTGACCAGACAAACACAGACACAAGCATTTCCTGTGCCTATAGAGTAACTATCTAACTCACGGGAAGTCTGGTGGTTCTATGACTGTCTTGATGACTCCGGCGTAGATGGCCATGATGGAGAGCACCACACAGGCCAGGAACACCAGGGCCAGCTTGTTGACATATTTGACTCCCACAAACACCACCAGAGCCATGAGAGCCAGGCAGCAGGTCCCGTACACACGCATGTTATTCAGCATGGCCTCCGCCTCGCCCTCCTTCTTCTCAGCCACAAACACCGCAGCGTTCGGCACGATGTATGTCTGGGACAAGAATAGGAGTCAGCTGGGACACTAGCTTCATGAAACGTTGTTTGGGCCAAGAGTTTTTCCGGCCCATGTGACATGTCCAGGAAAAACACTGTGCCATTGTTATAGGCTGTGACAAGGTACCAGCTCCTGGAAGAGTCATGTGGTCATGAAAAACTCCTCTAAACATTGTGTATTTCTTATATCATGACCAGGCATTCTGTTTTATCCTTACCAGAAGGATTTCAATGGTACCCAGGATGTACATGGAGCCAGCGAATGTGGTTCCCAGGTAAAAACACAAGCCCACAGCCCCACCAAACTCTGGTCCCAAAGACCTGGAGATCATGTAGTAGGAGCCTCCGGCTGAATGGGGCAAGAGAACAGATACGGATAAAACGACTAGAAAATAAGTTAGCCGCAGACTATAGCTCCAATGCAATAGTAATAATAATCAACCATGGTTAAATGATGACAGTTCAACAGTGCTAAATAAGCATAAAAACAGAGGTTGAGGTTTCTTATTCAAGGTGGAAAATAAGCTGAAGTTGAACTGACATTACCTGGCACTACACCATTTGTTGCAATAGCGCTCATTGATATTGCTGTCAGCATGGTCTGTAAGAGAGGAAAAAATACAATAGACTAGATATTGGTGGGTGTATGGTTACAATGTCCTCAGGGAGAAAACTAAGATTGGCAGAGAATACCACAGTTTAGTACCTGAACTCCCCAAAAGGGAGGAGTGTGTGTATGTAAGTAGTTTAGCCCACCTTGGTCCTCCATTTGTATCATTACATAGTACTCACACAGGTGCAGCACATGACGACGATGGCGAAAGACTCCAAGATGCCGGCAGTGCCAACTATCCAGGTGAGACGCAGGAAGAGGATGACTCCCAGGATGTTCTGCATGCAGGGCAGGTACACGCCGATGAATGTGCCCATTTGAGGACTCTGGAGGTGCCAACGTAGAGGGCAAGGGAAGAGGAGAGGTAGGATTACCATGAGTCAGCTTATGGTACAGTAAGGTATACTGTAATAGCCACAATACAGCATACAATACAATATTGTACAATCCTGTACAATACAGCTTAATACTGCTGAGATTACAAAGTCAATTGTCCGTAATAAAGAGATGCTCTGCTTTTTGACACCACACTCCACAAAGCAAGTCCTGCAGGCTCTAGTTTTATCTTATCTTGATTATTGTCCAGTCAAATGGTCAAGTGCTGCAAAGAAAGACCTAGTTAAGCTGCAGCTGGCCCAGAACGGAGTGGCACGTCTTGCTCTTCATTGTAATCAGAGGGCTAAAATTAATACTATGTATGCCAGTCTCTCTTGGCTAGAAGTTGAGTAAAGACTGACTACATCACTTCTTGTCTTTATAAGAAACATGAATGTGTTGGAAATTCCAAATTATTTGCATAGTCAACCTACACACAGTACTGACACACAGACTTGGCATTTGATTTGATTTGGAACTCCATTCCATCTTATATAGCGCAAGCGAACAGCAAACCTGGTTTCAAAAAACTAATAAAACAACACCTCACGGCACAACACCACTCCCCCATGTGACCTACTTGTTATGTGTACACTACATGACCAAAAGTATGTGGACAACTGGTCGTTGAACATCTCATTCCAACGTCATGGGCATTAATATGGAGTTGGTCCCCCCTTTGCTGCTATAACAGCCTCCACTCTTCTGGGAAGGCTTTCCACTAGATGTGGGAACATTGCTGCAGAGACTTGCTTCCATTCATCCACAAGAGCATTAATGAGGACGGGCACTGATGGTGGGCAATTAGGCCTGGCTCGCAGTCGGCGTTCCAATTCATTCCAAGGGTGTTCCATGGGGTCAAGTTCTTCCACACCGATCTCGACAAACCATTCTGTATGGACCTCGCTTTGTGCACGGGGGCATTGTCATGCTGAAACAGGAAAAGGCCTTCCCCAAACTGTTACCACAACGTTGCAAGCACAGAATCCTCCTCCACCAAACTTTACAGTTGGCACTATGCATTGGGGCAGGTAGCGTTCTCCTGGCATCCGCCAAACCCAGATTTGTCTGTCGGACTGCCAGATTGTGAAGTGTGGTTCATGACTACAGAGAACATGTTTTCACTGCTCCAGAGTCCAATGGTAGCGAGCTTCAACTGACGCTTGGCATAGCGCACGGTGATCGTAGGCTTGTGTGCGGCTACTCTGCCATGGAAACCCATTTCATGAAGCTCCCGACGAACAGTTCAGCACTCGGCTGTCCCGTTCTGTGAGCTTGTGTGGCCTACCACTTCGCGGCTGAGCCGTTGTTGCTCCTAGACGTTTCCACTTCACAATAACAGCACTTACAGTTGACCGGGGCAGCTCTAGCAGGGCAGAAATTTGACAAACTAACTTGTTGGAAAGGTGGCATCCTATGACGGTGCCACGTTGAAAGTCACTGAGCTATTCAGTACGGGACATTCTAATGCCAATGTTTAACTATGGAGATTGCATGGCTGTGTGCCTTGATTTTATACACCTGTTAGCAACGGGTGTGGCTGAAATAGCCGAATCCACTTATTTAAAGGGGTGTCCAAAAATATTTTAGAGATAGTGTATGTACTGATATGTATGAGTAACTGCTAGATGCACACTACATGTTCATGTTTTTAAATGTATGTAAATTGTAAAGTATTTTGTCTGTAATGTTTTTTTTGTTGGTGTCGACTAGTGGGGATACTAATAAATAAAATAAAATCTGCCACAATAAATACTGAGATTATTTTTTGTCTACAATTGTAATGTTGGCAAAAAGACTTGAGCCGACAGACTATTATCAGAGCCGTACACTATTTGCATTTTATTTTATTTTAAAATTGGTTCATTAGCAACCATCAAACCATCTCAGCAGCATAAAAACACAACAATGGTGAAGTCAATGGTCTGAAGTCAGCTGCTTAACTGTGCCCTGTAGGGACATGACTACAAACACAGTCTCAGGCAACCCCATCATTTAGCTGGGTTACTCTCATGAAACTACACATACTCAACACTGTGACATGCAAACCATACCACCCCAATCCTCCTGCAACAACTTTCATCACATTAGTTGCTTTGGTTTAGCCTGTTCCATCCTCCTGTGTTTGCAAATGAAGTTTTACAAATATTGTCTGATAAAGTTATGTAAACACAACAGATAAATTGTTTGCAGTATAAACGTGTGTTATAGTTTAGAATTTAAAACGTAAATAATTATATTTCTAGGGTCTAGGGAGAGAGTGGTATAAGGATAAAGTTTGCATTGGCTTTTCAGACAATGAGTAGACAGATGTATTGCTCAAATACATTGCAATGTCCTTTGAGCAAAACATCAGTAACAAAACATCAGTAGAGAATCCTTCCACAGTTCCCAGTCTATTTTCCTCATGCCCAACTCATGCTCATATGTCATAACAGTAAAGTATTTGAAGTCCTTTGCAGTTTTCCAGAGAAATTAACAACAGAACTATTCAGTGAAATAATACTATGTTTGCTCTGTGTGCTTGCACAGTTTGGAAAGCAGGAATACCCAAATATAACAGCCAAACACAATGCTATACAGTGTACAGTAACAGGCTACCTTTACAATGATCTGTTCGACTTCATTACAGCCATACAATCCATGCCCCGATCACCACAGGATAAATGAACAACTCCAGTGTGTTATCCACCGCCTGATGACACAAGCACCCCCTGTTATGCTCCAAAGGTGCAACGGACCCCACTCTTTCAAGATCAGAGAACTCTACCCCCCCCCCCCCCTCCCCACACACACACACACACACACAAAGACACTGCATGAATACAGTACAGTACATACCATATATCCCATAACGCAACACAGCACTCTCTCAATACTGCTGTCGGTTCTCCTATACGCCTTTTTATCAGGGTCAATGTGGCCCTTGTTCAAAGACCGTTCACAACCTGGAGTGGCATCCTCACTATCCACTCTGTCTCCATAGATCTGAGCCAATCAGATCTCCAGCAGGGAGAGGTGCTGGGGTAATTGTCAGGGGACAGGGGAATGGTTGGTTTCTGTGGCCTCGTGTTGGTGCTGTGACGCTGAATAGCAACAGTAGGAGTATTTCTTTGGTTGGTTGGTCAGAAGAATGCTGCCTTATATTCTCACACGCGCTCTGCTCTCAGAGGTGCTGTTGCATAGCCACCCCACTAACCAAGTCAACTCAGGTTGGTATGCACAATAATAATAGATGTTCATGTGATCGAACAACAATGTCCTTGTCAAGTGGATTGAGAGTTAATACAATGTCTGTCTACTACTGTACCTCTTTAGCGAGGTCTCCCACAAAGTACCCACCAGGAGAACTTCTCAATAATGCACAACGGTCATGTGGTCCATACCTTGACTCTAATCTTCGTGACCCCCTCCTCATTTTCATACTCCTCGTGCTCAGTGACCCCCTGGGTGAGGTTGGTGTAGTTAGCCAGCTTGTTGAGGAGGGAGGATACCATGGGGTTGCTCTCAATCTCTTCCTGTCAATAAGGACACAATGACATTGAATCGGGACGTCATGGCATTGAAGACATCCAAATATACAACAAACAAAAGCAACACGTTTGGATGATATACTCCAATATAATCCAGGTAAGCACTTAGCTCTCACTTTACATTAAAGTGGCATAAAACCTATGTGGTAATTAATTACATGACATGATTTATGATATCAAACGCCTTGACATGTGGTATACCTCAAAGAGAGCCATGTTCTTGCCATCGTAGTAGTTTCCTCGGTCATGGTCAGTGTTGTTGATGAAAGGGCTGCTCTCTCTGGGAGTGACATCTCCTGGGAGCCAACAGAAAAGGAGGCACAGCGTAAGATAAGAAAAACATCTTTACTGTACTTGTCTGTCCAATCACTATTGATTTCATGGTATCTTCATCACTTGGCCAAAATATTGTAAATTTTTTGTTATACATTTCTTAGGAAACAACACAAACACCACTTTCCTCTGCAACCGATACAGAAAACCTCTACTGTCCAGACAAAGTCATGTTGATTGTCATTTCCGTAGTAATGTCCTATGGGGTTATACTGTGACGAGAGCAATCAATGCTATCGTGTGCAGCGGATGAGGCTGCTAATGACTCAGGTCAATGATATTGACACTGTAGAGCTCCTGTACAGTATGATGAATAAGGACAAACTACCCTGAACAAAACTTTATCTTTGCGATACTGTAATACAATGTTATTTTCCCATGATTGCTCTCCAGCTGTTGTAAAATAAGAGGTGAGATGCAGTGGTAAGGAACATTTCAATGTTATCATCTCATTATGAAGTGTAGTATTCAGGCCTATAACAGCAGACAGAGTTCCATAAAAGGAGTTTCGCCAAGCTGCTATTAATCATCACAAGATATCATCCATTACAGAGACTTCCTTGTAAATGAGATGTCCAAGGCACCTACAGCACCCGATGTCACAGGAAGGCCAAAAGATCATCAAGGACATCAACCACCCGAGCCACTGCCTGTTCACCCCGCTATCATCTAGAAGGTGAGGTCAGTACAGGTGCATCAAAGCTGGGACCGAGAGAATGAAAAACAGCTTCTATCTCAAGGCCACCAGACTGTTAAATAGCCATCACTAGCACATTAGAGGCTGCTGCTGCCTATTGAAATCACTGGCCACTTTAAGAAATGGAACACTAGTCACTTTAATAATGTTTACATATCTTGCACTACTCATCTCATATGTATATACTGTATTCTATTCTATAATATTGTACTGTATCTTAGTCCATGCCGCTCTGTCATTGCTTGTCCATATATGTATATATTCTTAAATTCCATTCCTTACTAGATTTGTGTGTATTGGGTATACAGGTAAAAGTCAGTAAATTAGAATATTTTGAAAAACTTGATTTATTTCAGTAATTGCATTCAAAAGGTGTAACTTGTACATTATATTTATTCATTGCACACAGACTGATGCATTCAAATGTTTATTTCATTTAATTTTGATGATTTGAAGTGGCAACAAATGAAAATCCAAAATTCCGTGTGTCACAAAATTAGAATATTACTTAAGGCTAATACAAAAAAGGGATTTTTTAGAAATGTTGGCCAACTGAAAAGTATGAAAATGAAAAATATGAGCATGTACAATACTCAATACTTGGTTGGAGCTCCTTTTGCCTCAATTACTGCATTAATGCGGCGTGGCATGGAGTCGATGAGTTTCTGGCACTGCTCAGGTGTTATGAGAGCCCAGGTTGCTCTGATAGTGGCCTTCAACTCTTCTGCGTTGTTGGGTCTGGCATTCTGCATCTTCCTTTTCACAATACCCCACAGATTTTCTATGGGGCTAAGGTCAGGGGAGTTGGCTGGCCAATTTAGAACAGAAATACCATGGTCCGTAAACCAGGCACGGGTAGATTTTGCGCTGTGTGCAGGCGCCAAGTCCTGTTGGAACCTGAAATCTCCATCTCCATAGAGCAGGTCAGCAGCAGGAAGCATGAAGTGCTCTAAAACTTGCTGGTAGACGGCTGCGTTGACCCTTGATCTCAGGAAACAGAGTGGACCGACACCAGCAGATGACATGGCACCCCAAACCATCACTGATGGTGGAAACTTTACACTAGACTTCAGGCAACGTGGATCCTGTGCCTCTCCTGTCTTCCTCCAGACTCTGGGACCTCGATTTCCAAAGGAAATGCAAAATTTGCTTTCGTCAGAAAACATGACTTTAGACCACTCAGCAGCAGTCCAGCTCTTTTTTTCCTTAGCCCAGGTGAGACGCTTTTCGCGCTGTTTCTTGGTCAACAGTGGCTTGACACGAGGTATGCGGCAGTTGAAACCCATGTCTTTCAAGCGTCTCTTGGTGGTGGATCTTGAAGCCCTGACTCCAGCAGCTGTCCACTCCTTGTGAATCTCCCCCACATTTTTGAATGGGTTTTTTTTCACAATCTTGACTAGGGCGCGGTGATCCCTATCGCTTGTACACTTTTTCTGACCACAGTTTTTCCTTCCCTTTGCCTCTCTATTAATGTGTTTGGACACAGAGCTCTGAGAACAGCCAGCCTCTTCTGCAATAACCTTTTGTGTCTTTCCCTCCTTGTGCAATGTGTCGATGGTCGCCTTTTGGACAGCTGTCAAATCTGAAGTCTTCCCCATGTTTGTGTAGGCTTCAGAACTGGACTGAGAGACCATTTAAAGCCCTTTGCAGGTGTTTTGAGTTAATCAGCTGATTATTTTGTGGCACCAGGTGTCTTCAAAATGTAACCCTTACACAATATTCTAATTTTGTGACACACGGAATTTTGGATTTTCATTTGTTGCCACTTCAAATCATCAGAATTAAATGAAATAAACATTTGAATGCATCAGTCTGTGTGCAATGAATAAATATAATGTACAAGTTACACCTTTTGAATGCAATTACTGAAATAAATCAAGTTTTTCAAAATATTCTAATTTACTGACTTTTACCTGTATGTTGTGAAATTGTTAGATATTACTTGTTAGATATTACTGCGCTGTCGGAGCTAGAAGCACAAGCATTTCGCTACACCCACAATAACATCTGCTAAACACGTGTATGTGACAAATACAATTTGATTTGATTTGATTTGAAGAGGGTTTCAATGAAAAATGCACAATTTCTCAAGCATTGGTTTCTTTGCAAGACATAATTAGCTTGCCCTACAGTATCTACTAGGCACACCACGTAATTTCAACATGGAAAATTGGGTAATATTTGGTTGAGATGTTGATCAATGAGATTTCAACCTTTATTCAACCACTCAAAAAGACAGCCAGAAGTTAGTTGAATTCCCAAATGTGTTATCACTGCACTTTCAACCATTTGAAAGCACAGCAAAGTTCAAATGGGAATACAATGTCAGATATTTTGTATTTATACAACTTAATGCAGTGTTTACCAAACCCCAAGGGGTGCACGTTTTGGTTCTTGCCCTAACACTACACAGCTGATTCAAAGCTTGATGATTAGATTATTATTTGAATCAGCTGTATAGTGCTAGGGCAAAAACCTAAACGTGCACCCCTTGGGGTCCCAAGGACCGAGTTTAGGAAACGGATAAAAGCGTCTGCTAAATGGCATATTATTATTATTATTATTATTGACTTAATGTGTTATCACCGTGCTTCATCTAATAGCACAACTGTCACGCCTACTCCCGCTCCCCCGCTCCAGCGCTCGATGTCGCCGGTCTACTAACCACCGGTCCTAGCAACTATCATTACGCACACACACCTTCTGCACCTGCTTCCTGACTCCCTGCTTATACGTTACAGAATACTGCCTCACTAATTATGGAAGCAGCAGAAGAGTAAGACATCTACCAGACGGTCGGTGAACAGGGACACCTACTCCGTCAACACCACGATCAGCTGGCGCAACAAGGTGCGGCTATGGATGAGGTCCTCCGCGTCCTCCACCGCCTCGACACCACCCGAGAGGATTCACCTACAACTAGCGGAGGGCCTCCTACCATGAGTCGTCCCAGTGAGCTAGCTCCCCAGCCCAGCCAGCAGTCCTCCCAGGGAGGCGATGCCCGACTGTCCCTCCCGGACAAGTATGACAGGACTCCATACAAATGCCGTGGTTTCCTACTCCAGTGCTCCCTCTATTTTGCCCATCAGATGGGAGCCCCCACCACCAAGAGGTCCAAGTTTGCCTCTGTCATTTCCCTACTGACCGGGCGGGCATTGGAGAGGACTACAGCCGTCTGGGAGAGAGGAAGAGCTGGGTTCCTACAAGAGGTTCATGGCTCTGTTCAGGGCGGTCTTTGACCATCCATCGGAGGGCAGAGAGGGAAGTGAGAGACTATTCCAACTCCGGCAGGATGCCCAGACCGCTGCGGAGTACGCCCTCACCTTCCGGACCGTGGCAGCCTCCAGTGGATGTAATGAACCGGCACTCTGCACCCTATATCGTAGAGGACTGCATGAGGAGGTCCAGACGGAGTTGTCGTGCCGGGACGACAACCTTTCCTTGGACGCACTCATCACGATGGTCATCTGTCTGGACAACCTTCTTCAGGCGCGCCGGCACCTCCCTCGCCCCTCACCCTCCTCCTTTGGCCTTCCTGAGGCAGAGCCTGAACCCATGGAGATAGGGTCACACACCTCTCTGCAGCAGTGGCGTCACCGGAGACAGATGGGGCTGTGTTCCTATTGCGGCCAGGAGGGGCACCAGCTCCAGCTGTGTCTGGTGCCACCCAACCCGAGGTCCACTGGGGAAGAGGGACGACCCCGTAATCATCCCTCCCAGGGTAGTCGTGAGTATTCCTTCATAATTTTTTTCCGCCAAATCCTTTCTGGTTTCCATTTCACTGGCTGGCTTTCCCTCAGGTGTTGTCTCTTCAGCTCAAGTGGACTCCAGTGCCACAGGGAATTTCATCGACCAGGCCCTCGCCTCCTCCCTGAACATCACCTCATTCCCGCTCTCCTCTCCTTTTCTGGTTCAAGCCCTGGATAATCAACAATTGGGATCCGGCACAATCACGCGCATCACAGCACCACTCTCCCTCACCGTGGGACCCAAGCACCAGGAAAGCCTTCTCTTCCTCATCATCACTGCACCCGTACACAAAGTCATCCTCGGCCTCCCGTGGCTCCAACGTCATAACCCCACCATCTCCTGGTCGAGGATGAAAATCACCGCCTGGGCACAAGGATACATTGTGATTCCACGTCGGTTGAGAGTCCTGTAGGTGCCCTCCAGCCCATCATTCTTCCCATATCGTTGGCCCCTTGTTTTGGGACATAGATGTGGACATCCACCAGGCTCTGGAGAGGGAACCCATGCCTGCTACCTGCCCTCCTGAGCACATCTACGTCCCCACGGGGGTAAGGGATTGGCTGTTGACCTGGGTGCACACATCCCTCGCCGCTGGACATCCATTTATCACCCGCACCATTCAAACCATTTCCATGAAGTACTGGTGGCCCACCTTGGAACAGGCCGTCGCCCGCTATGTCAATTCATGCTCCATATGTGCCCAAACAAAATCTCCCTGGAACCCTCCAGCAGGGAAACTCCTTCCCTTTCCCGTGCCTCAGCGGCCTTGGTCCCATCTGTCCATAGATTTTGTTACTGATCTCCGAGCCAGACCGAAGCCCCTGCGGTGGTAGTTTGGAAAGCTGCCCACGTGAGGCTCCAGCGCGCTGTCCGCCATCAGGAGGAGCAGGCAGACTGCCACCGCAGTGAGGGTCCGTGTTCCATCTTGGTAATCCCGTCTGGCTCTCCACCAGGAACCTCCTGCTCCACCTGCCCTGCTGGAAGCTCAGCCCCCGATTTGTGGTGCCCTTCAAGGTCCTCCGGAGGGTCAACGAGGTAACATATCGATTACAACTCCCCACAACTACCGGATCTCACCCTCTTTTCATTTTTCCCTCCTCAGGCCAGTGGTTCCTGGTCCCCTGGCTGGTGCCATCCCTGCGACACCCCTCCGCCTCCCCTGGACATCGAGGGGACCCCCGCCTATGCCGTCAGGTCCCTCCTGGACTCCCGACGTTGTGTGGGTTGGCTCCAGTACCTGGTAGACTGGGAGGGGTACGGTCCTGAGGAGCGCTGTTGGGTCCCGGCGGCCGACATCCTGGACCCCAACATCATCCGGGATTTCCATCTCCGCTGTCCGGCCAGCTCCTTGCCGTCGGGGCCGTCCTCCCACACCTGATCCCCATCGTTATGCACTCCTCATCATCACCATGATTACTCTCCCTTTAGATTCTGCACATATTATTATAGCAATTGTGAAGATCTCCACAGACCAGCGACATTTGCATGCTATCTTCAACATGCATGGTTTCTATGATTGCATAAGAAGACATTTATAGTTACAGTAGGCATGTGGACAACCCTTCAAATTAATGGATTCGGCTATTTCAGCCCCACCCGTTGCTGACAGGTGTATAAAATCGAGTACACAGCCATGCAATCTCCATAGACAAAAATTGGCAGTAGAATGGCCTTACGGAAGAGCAAAGTGACTTTCAACGTGGCACCTGTCCTCGATTGCAATAATCACTACCGAGTTCCAAACTGCCTCTGGAAGCAACGTCAGCACAATAACTGTTCGTCGGGAGCTTTATGACATGGGTTTCCATGGCTGAGCAGCCGCACACAAGCCTAAGATCACTATGCGCAATGCCAAGCGTCGGCTGGAGTGGTGTAAAGCAATGAGACAAGATCTTTTTTTTTTTTTTTTACAAAAAAAAAACAGGATGGGAGACCAAATGAATAGCTATAGATCAACTCTACAGTAAGTTGTTTTATATATATATATATATATATATATATAGTGGATATAATTGTGAAGATCTGACGTTGTTTCAAAGGTTCAAAGGTTTGTCTATGCTAAAGATTGGTTACAATGATGACATAATCCTGTGGTTGGGACAACAGTTTACGTTGATTACTTTTTTCCGAATCCAATGTATTTTTTCAGGTAGATTCTACGTCACAATACGTTGACAGATTACGTTGAAACAACGTTGATTCAAACTGTTTGTTTTCAGTGGGTAGTCTCTTACCACGGTCGCTGTTTCTAACAGCATGAGTTTGGCAAAGCAAAACTAGCACACTAAATACAATTGACAGCCAGCCTATTGTAAAATGTCCTGGCTGAGGAAAGCAAGGCAGTCTTCCGAAGAGAAGACGAGGGCAGTGGTAGAACCATCCATCACGATGTACTAGCTGTCTGCTCTGTTCATTCCACACACAAGGAATGAATAGGAACCAATTATATCAGGCTACATCGATACTTTAGACAAAGGGGAGCTGACATTGTGTAGATCTAGGGAGGTGGACAGGTTCAGGTTTATGCATTCATTCTGGGAGATAATCCTATTGATTTACAGTATGTTTGTTCCGTTGACAGAGATGAACAGCGCAGAACATACAGTAGAAGTACTTGTCAAATTGTACGATAATAAGACATTTTGCCAAAGTGAATAATTGGCTTAAGTGAATAACTTCAAGGTAAGAATCTCAGACACTAGGAATATCTTAATTTAACTCCAATGTTCACAAAATCTGGCTTTCTCAAATATTAAACATTTGGCTGATTTAACAGACATTTTCACTATTTGAAAAATCCGTCCACACAACAACACAATCTCATCAGGTAGTTTGCTAATGAGGAACTAAGTGAAGCATTGCAGCCTCTATGATAATAAATGACAATGAGAGCTATTTATAACTCATTAAGCCTCCACAGTGGCAGATTCATAAGCTGCCTAGCCCAGCACACCTGAGCCTGAAGGTAAGACGCACAGACACAGAGACAGAGAGAGATATCAAATCCCTATATTTAACCCTGGGTCCACCCCAGCACTCATGTAAACACAGATATACGTACCACAGATTAACAACTACAACACTCAAGGACAGACGCAACAAACACATATACATGATGATGGCTTAACCAAAGCTTCCACAACAAGAAAAAGCAAAATTCTTACTACAGACCAGACTATGAATATGCAAATATGTCGAGGCTGATTATTTCACAGGGTTTATCACACAGATGAGCTCACCTGATCGTCGTGAGCCCTCCTCGCGCTCCATGCTAGGAGGGAGGTGCAGCTGGGGTCCCACAACTCTCTTCCAGTATGCTACTGTAAACCTCAGTAGTTCCAGACCTCAGTCTGCTCTGCCTAGCCCCATATCCACTGAGTTGACTTGAATCTGTGTAACACAGCTCTCTATGAATGTCTGTATATCTGTTTTGCACTAGGTAGCTTTCTGTAGCAGCTTTGGTTCAGGTGTCTGTCGTGCCCTGGGATTCAGCTGCTCCAGAGTTGTGGACATCCCTTCTCTGTCCTGTTACTGTCCTGTCCTGTCTGGAGGCAGTGGAGCATCATCAGCCCCTGCGCTCCTGACCCCTCATCCACTCACTGGAGGGTGTGAGAGGTAGAGGAGGGAGAGGGGTAGAGAGGGGAAGGGAGGGGGAGGGTGCAGCTTTAGCTACTGTAACCCTGTGCCCTGAAACACAGCTCAAAGAGCTTATAGTGCATGTCCCTATACATATACACATATATACACACAAACACGTTTATTCCCCTCAGCTATTAGCTTAGCATAAAAAGTGTGTACACAGTATACAGTTCGCAATGTAATCCTCGAATCTTGTGTACTTTTTACATTTAACAGCTCAAAGGAAAATAATTATGGAGGAGCTGAAACAGAGGACATGAAGTAATATTCCATCCATGTATACCCAATCCTCTGGGAAGTAATATTCCATCCATGTATACCCAATCCTCTGGGAAGTGAAAAGTGCAATCCCCACCAAAGTCAATAGACTGCTGAGTTGTTGCCTGGCATAAAAATAACATGGAACTGAAGGGCCTCTGACAGTGACATTGAAAGGTCTGCCGTTGTGATGACCAGCACATCTGATGCCATATTTCAAATTACACAGAACACAGTTAGATGAGGTGCTACTTATGTTTCAATGTAAATGTAAAGCTCTATCCGACACGCCATGCTATGAAGAGCCTTGCCACAAGAGGTCTCCGTTTCACAAGAGCTTTATGCATAAGGACTACTTTTAACAATTTCCACAAAAGAAAACAAAAACCACAGTGCAGATGCTAAGTTTGATAACAGAATTACGGTTAAAGTAAAAAAAAATCTGAGTCTCAGCTTAATTTTATGCCTGTTTAAAACGAATTTCCTGCAATTCTACATAGTAGACTATTTATATATGTTCACTACTTGGTCAATTGATTTGATACGCTATAGGCCTACCGCAAATTATTATTGTTTGTTCCTGAACTGAATGAAAGGCAGAACTATGCTTCAGCTATCCTTTAGCACCACAAGTTGGTTCAACTCTTTAACATCATTGTGTGATCCTGGCGCTGTCCTTTCAGCACAACGAAAGGCGTGCCTATCCCTTAAAATTACATCGCATCAAGATCTGTTGCCTACGCCTAGATTATCACTTCCCACAATGGTGCTCGTTTAGTAAAGTTAGATCAAAGCTGAATCAATGTCTCGCAAGATCACATAATGATTCATTAGCATTTTACATAACAGAAGCGAATATAATACCATAGCATAGTAGGCCTATAACATTACTGTTACACCAAAAATACCTAATTTCTAATGAGATTTTAGTATGGTTAGCTGAAGCTGAATAGTCCCCCAAAAATTACAATGTACCAAAACTCAACAGAGCACGACTAGGCATGATATATGCTTTAATTGAAACAAAATACAAGGCTAATAATTTGTTAACACTTATCTGCTCTAATTCGCATACAAAACAATTATTCAAGAAGATCTAATGGCCTATTCCGAAATTAGGTAGCCTATTCCTAACTTGGTGTTTGAGGGAAATAAAAAATAAAAACAGTTCTGTGTGGGCATAGATGTTGCAATTGGACATGACCATGTACAACCTTGTATTATGTTAATTAGGTACATGTCTCGAGGGTCTGTCCTTATTATCTACAGCTGGACAGCCTTTCATTGAAAGGCCACAACACATAACACAAGGTTAGGTCAATGTCTTGAGGGTCTAGCTTCCAAAAAATATATGACAAACTAAAACAACACAAGGATAAAGTGAATGTCATTATGGTAGACTTTATTGTGATTTGTAAAGTGTGAATAAGCCAAACAGAAAAACCAAGTGTGTAGCTCACAACATGACATATAAAACAGTCATCAACAAGAGGAAGAGAACATATGTGCACGTGTTTTACAAACCACACTCCAACAATTACTGTAGGGTGCCACGCGTGATCGCAGCATCCTGGAAAGACACTTGACCAGCTGGTGTGAGGAAGTAGTCCGAGGTTGTTGCGCACGTCTATAGCAACACTGGTTGCCCTGTCTGCCGACATATTTCTTGGGTACAGGAAGCTGGTGTCCCCTTGTACCACCTGTCTCCACTCTCCTGGACGCAGGTCCCCAGTGGGTGTGGAGTGGTCAACAAACATGGTGTGGATGTACCGTGTTGTCAGTGTCTGTAGTGCCTGTGGTGCAAATGTAGTTGTGGAGGGCCACGCAGGCCTTCACAATGGTCTCAGCTTTCTCGGAGGCAACCTCAAGGGCTCGTCCCAGGACCCTCCATCTTCCAGCAAGGATCCCAAAACAGTTATCTGAAATTCTTCTGGCTCTTGAGTGGCGGTAGTTGTCGATCTTCTTGGCGTCATCAAGGCCTGAAGAACCTTTGAATAAAAGAAGCGTACTCCATTAGTATTGAACAGGAAAGCTATTAAATGTGTACTGTAACAACTGTGTAGCCTATGCTTTGGACATACTGTAGGCCCTCATCCCCTTACTGGGATGCCAGATCACTTTTATGTAAGGCATATTATTATGCCTGTATTGGTATAATTTTCACTTCATATGTATAGTCACATGTATTTAGCGTATCTTACCTGGATATGGTCGCATCAGGTTTACCACAAAGACATATGGGCTCGGTGTTTGGGTCCCCGGCGAGCACTTTGGCCTTGGTAGCGGCAGCTGGCCTACAATGAGTTGGGAGCCGAACTTGCTTTGTGAGAAGATTCCCGCATCTCCCTCGCGACCATGTTGATCATGGTGAAGCGGTACTTTGCGTCGCAGACTGCCGTCAGGACTATTGAGAAAAAGCCCTTGTAGTTGTAGTACTCGCTGTCTGAGTTTGCTGGAGCTCGGATCTGAATATTTTTTCCGTCGACAGCTCCTGCACAAAACTGATAATTCCAATGATCCCCAAACTCTGACGATTTCTGCCCATTTTGCCACGGCGGGATAAGCAACAAAATCCTCCTTCAGGACATGCCAGATAGCCTGGCACACTTCCGTGACGATGGCACAAACGGTAGAGATTCCTAGCTTATAACTTGCAGCAAAACTTTGCTGTGTGCTGCCGCTCGCCAAAAACAGAAGGGTCACAGACTTTCTGCAGCACTTAAGGGCAAGCTGTGAATTTTTCTCGTGTGAGATGTGAGGGGCATGCCGCTGAAGCAAGCTGTCAAATCTGGCAACAGACAGCCGAAAGTATTGAAAAGGTCTTTCCTCGACAATGTTTCAAATAGGTTGGACAAGAGACATGTATTCTCCATCGTCCCCTCTTCTGTGGACAAACTTGCCATTTTCTCAGTCGTTTTCATTTTCTTCTCCTCCTGAGTAGTAAGAGCAGTTCAACTCGCTGTTCAAGCTCTCGCTGTTCAAGCTTTAGCAATTGCAATTCTTAGAGAGATATGTTTGCATCTGCTTCTATGGCTAAAAAGTAGCGTCGTAAAGCATAGAACACTAGACTAGCCAGACATGTAGCTAGCTAGCTAGTATTTGTCAACAAAAAGGCATATAACACTGGATCTGGAAGTTCAAATATCATCGCTAGCTACAGTCAGAGTGCCTCAGACCCTCTTGCTTGGTAAGCTACACAAGACAGACTTCCTTGGTGGAACGCAACGACAATGTGGACAAAAGTGCGCGCTGCCCCAAAAACCTGACTCTGCCCTTGCACATGCATGTACATCTATCGATGGAGTGGAGCTTGTAGCCACCTTTAAGGAGCTTCAGGATGACTGTGTGTTGCCCGCAGTGTCCTGTGAACAGGATTTCAACAGCCTCAGTCATTCATGTCTGTTGAATGCCTTGCCCTTATATTTGTCTCTATGTAGGATAAGAACGTACAGTAAGTCAGTGCAGATACAACATTTCTCACAGAAATTGATTGGAGGATCACATTGTAAACAAACAGTGTGGTTAGCCTGACTGTAACCACAGGGGCCCCTGTGTCTTCTCTCTAGGAAGACCGACACAGAAAAACAGAAATGCCCAACAGATGGTAATCTCATCCTAGTCCCAAGGGAGGGAAGTCTGAAATTGTCTGAAGTTTCATTGGCATGTCAATGGAGGTAGTTTTCGGAACAGGAAGCAAAGTTAAGTCAAAATGATTAGCATGTAGCCTACCATGATTCTGTGGCTCAAATTCAGGCATCCTACATTTCTAAACAGCAAGTAGGCCTAACTCTTCCTCATTGATAAACACAATTATAAATTACAGCGCTAACTGTCCTGTCTTGTCCAGACAAGCCACTCACACTGCCTCAGGCTCACTGAATGAAATAAACATAGAATGAAATATGTTTGGCAATTTACATACTGGATTAAAAATACAGGCTTGATTGCAACCAACAGGCAGAACTTAACACGCTCCTGCAAGGTTACCACTAGATTTCTTAAAACGGGAGATTACATGCATCTGCGGGGTAAACTAAGCATGATTGCAACTAAAAACCCACAAGGATAAACCAGCAGATCAGTTGATCTCTCGTTGTTACAGTGTCAAGTGATCATGATACCAGACAGCTGGTCTAGATTCTCTACTCCCGCCGCCAATTAAATATCAACCCATTAGGAGCATCGGAAACCGTAAGGCTGATGAATGAAAAACGACTTATTTGAGTATAAGATTATAGAAGTAGTAGGCCTATATTTCATTAAAACGTTTCACTTTAAATGGCAAAATAATATAATATATGCCATTCGAAATAACTTTATAGACTACGTTTTCATCTGATAAAAATATATAGATTATATAACTCAATCATGATTTAGTTGATTTAGTTACACATTTCAAGTATGGACTGACCCCCGATCTTGATAAGAAAGGACCATATCAGACCATTTCCTTTTAAAGACAGTTATATTTAATGGATTACATAACTTGAAAACAAATAAATAATAAGAGTAGGCTACACCATCAACAATAGTTTTCCATCATACAATGTGTTGGGTAAATTACTTCAGTAAATGAGGAAATACTTAATTTCAGTTGAATGGAATGATTGTCAAATAGATAAATCGCCCTTAGACTGCTCATAAAGTAGGACTAAGTTGTTCCGATGATAATACCCACCAGAGGGCGAAATAGTTGTAAAAATGTTTTTGCTGCAATCAAGACTAAAAGATAACCTCGACATCCACGTTAGGAGTGGTAAATTACTGGCCAATGTTGGTTGCAATTGAGATCAGCTGTGCGAGTGATTTTAGATTGTATTGATGGTTTAACGAGAGATTAGCTGGCAATAATCTGGTGGCTTTCAATGGTTGCAATTGGCCCACAGGTTTTATGACTTTAGTGAAGTAAAGTTTTATGACAAAACTAAAAAGTCTTTATGGACAGTATACAGTATTTAGTGCATTTCAGGGAGAGAGACCAACTATGTCAGTTAAAGAAACAAACAATGCTGTGAAACCTGACCCTGAGGCAGCCCATTTGGGAAAACGTTGTTTATACTGGATGTATTTTGTGGAGCCAGCACTGTGTGAGTACAGGTACTGTAGGCGTGAGAACAGAGAGGAGAGCACATGATGTAACACAGATAGAGCTGGTTATCTGGGACTGAGTGGAGCCTTCCTACTGCTGACTACAGCCCAAAAGTGACCACAGCCCATTGCCTTCCCTTATGTGTGTCCTGTGTGACTCATACTGCCTTTACAAACAGCAGCCAGAAAGGTTAACAGCTCCACTCTCAGTGACACTGGGAATGTTTATCTGCAGCCAGTTCTAAATGAAGGCACCTGTTCTTAGTTTTAAAAAAAGGTTTGTGTTTGACTTTACTCAAATGGGCACTACAATTGCCAAAAACCAAGTACTGTAAACCCCATTGAATTTTACGACAACAATGATAATACACATGTACTAGTTCTACCTTCCCCACTGACCTCTGACCTTTTGTACTGCTCCTGACCTCTCTGAACCCTCCTTACCATTTTGTGATGCCAAGATTGTATTCTAATATCTCATATCCCCACTCAGGCAGCAGTGGTGGCAGCTGGAAGCTAAACTCACTTAACTCAACTGGCCAGAGGGAAAGTAACAAATCACTGCTTGCTCAATCATAAAGTAGGATGGCCCTCTTTGACGTTGCGTAAAACGAAACACTGCATTTCATTCATTTATAAAGCCCATAGAAGTAGGAGTTACCATAGCTACCTGATCATAGGGATGGCTAACTCTGGAAATTCTGTCTGTTGCTTCAGACTTTTAGTTTCTTCCCATCCCATGTATGAAACAATCTTCAGAGTTCCCTACAATTGGATGTACTGGTGCCTTTCGGGCATTTCAGTGTTGATTGAGGACCTCTTTGTTGATGAATGTGATTGCTTTTCTTGAGTGTGTTTTGTATTTTTGCATTCTCTTTGGGGTATTCTTTCTGGTGTATTTCCTATGTGTAATTTGTTGTGTTATTGTAAGATGCAGGGCTACCTTGCAAAAGAGACCTTGGTCTCAATGGGACTAAAATAAATAGGCATAACCCACATTAAAAAATACTACAGGTTACTACAGAATAGTATAGTACTTACTATAGAATTCTATAGAATTATGTAGTAAACTGTAGTATACTGTAGAATACTATACTCCACACTATAGTATCCCTTGATCATGTGTGGTACTTACTATAGAATTTTGTAGTATACTGTAGAATACTGTACTACACACTGTAGTATCCCTTAATCATGTGTAGTACTATCCATATAATGTTATAGCATACTGTAGAATACTATATTAAATTCTACAACGTTAGGCATCAGGTAGTTTCCGCAAAAACACTACAGCTTTTTAACTATAGCAATACTACAGTATTTACTTTCCATATTCCCCACCCATTCCCATCCCCCATCTCCTAATTTGTGCCACCCATGAGTGAGAAACCTACATGCCAAGTATAGACCATATATCGTGTTCCCTACAGGTTATAGAAAAGAGCAGAAGCTTTGAACTATCTGTTCAGGTTATGGAAAATGTGCTCTTTTACTATTTGTCCAGTAGGTTTCCTCAAGGAGAAAGCCCCCACTTCTATGTCAAAAATTATCAAATAAAAACACTATTGTAAATATGGCAGTTATGTCCACAAAAACATAAGAAACTAGAGTATATACTATAGTAATTGACTATTTTAATACTAGTATTTATACTATAGTAAACAGTAAAAAGTACAGTATACTACAGTCATGTACGCAAAACACTACAGTAAATAATACAGTATACTACAGTCATGTCCCAAACACTACAGTAAATACTAAAGTAAAGTCAGCAAAAACACTACAGTGAATACTACAGTATTTTTCATGTGGGAAGAGTTTGGTCGGAAAAACACAGGCAGACACCCACGCAAGCACATACACATCCACACACTCCAACAAACAAACATCTGGGTTATATAATCCCCCGTGAATAGATATCCTTTCCATACAAAGTCAGTGAGGGCTGACAGCAGCACATGTGTGCTGCAGCAACAATTGGGAGACAATCAAAAAGGACTCTTTCCTCAATAAATTTGTTTTTTAAAGCTACACAAGTGAAAAAACACCTCAGAATCTGAAATTACTACGGTTTTACAAGAATGATGTTGTGTGCAAATACTAAAATAGTATAGTTACAGCAGTAAAGAGCAGACAGTCAGTCTGTGACATTCCAATAAACTAACCCTAACCCACTCTCCCTTCCAACAGGAAGAGAACAATGGAGTTCTACTGGTTTACAGCAAGTTAATACTTGACAGAGGAGAGGCATTTTGGCAGTGACTGCCACTGTGGAATGTAAGGCTGAGAAACCTCTAAAGATAACAGACTACTATCCATATTGATTTCACATTAAGAGGGAGAAAGATATGTGTGAATGAGTTGAGTGAGTGAAAGATTGAGAGGGGGAAAGAGAGAGAGAGAGAGAGAGAGAGAGAGAGAGAGAGAGAGAGAGAGAGAGAGAGAGAGAGAGAGAGAGAGAGAGAGAGAGAGAGAGAGAGAGAGAGAGAGAGAGAGAGAGAGAGCAAGAGGAAAGATCTCAGAAAGCCCTCACTAGTTTTTGATCTCAGGAGTTGATTTCTTGTCAGAATTACAAAAAGTTCAAAAGTTCAATCTTGTCGGAAAAAGTATATTCGGTCTCCTTAGACCACAGAAAAATGAACAAACAAACAAAGCAATATATCATATCAGAATTCTTTAAGTCAAGGGCCAGTTAGCTTTGGGACACAACATTGGGAGTCTGTGTATTGGTTGAACTCCCTGAGGAATGTTGTGTCCCAAAGCTAAGTTAAAGTCAACATGTTCAGCTGTTCTACTGAAGCTACTCTGCTTGTCTGAGCCTGTCATGACAACGTCAACAGCGTGGGCCCTCACCTGAGTAGGGTCGTCGTGGAGAAATGTCTTCCTCATCTTCCTCACTAAACACACCTTCGAGAGTTGACTTCCCGGCCCCGCCATCCTCTACAGGAACCACAGTGAAGTTTATGGGCATTTTATCCCCTCACCGCATTGGCTCTAGTCTGAGAAAGTCAACTACTCTCTCTCACCTTCTTAAGGCACAATTCGAAGTGCTCTCTACTTCTGTCTCTCACACCTCTATTGCTTAGATTCTGGCCCCATGTGACCAGGCTCTCTCCAAATAAGGAGTTTTCTACAACTCCTCCCTCAGAGAAAGTCCTCCTTCCTTACTACACTCAACCTCTCCCCCCTCTAGGCTATAGCACCTACAATAGACAAGACTCCTAATGTTACAGCGGGCACCTCTTCCTGAACAACTCTCCCTTTACTGAAAATAGCCCTTTATTTGTAACGTACAGTGTAGATCTATGGCACAGTGACTGAGGATTTCGTCTTCTTTCCTCTATTTTACCCCCCTTTGTAGGCCAGTAGACTACTACATATTAGCAAAAGTAAACAAAGGGGTGTTTCCTTTCCCACAGAGCAAAGCCTGCTGGGTAATTCAGAGGTGTTGATTGCTAAACTGACCATTACATTTCATTTCAGTAATTTACCATGCCAGTCGAGAGAGAGTGGCCCCCTGGGGTAAGGCGGCAATCAACACAAAAGGCCCTATAGTCACACACGTGAATCACATCAGCCTGAGGGTGCCCCAGAGCAAACATATGGAACAATTGGAAAAGAGAAGGATTTAAAAGACCAAAGGCTATTAATGACAATGAAGATTCTGGAAAAACCACATGAATAACGTTAAACACAACAAAATAGTCATAATCTCAAATCTACTCCTGGGCGATTTAACTGAAATTAAAAAATACATCTCCCAGTAATCCTTTCATGTCAACATTACAGTTTTGAAAACATAGCTTGTCCCAAAAAAGTGGACAGGGTAAGTTACGCCGCCTACACATTTCTGTACATGAATGAAATATTACCACTATCTTTTTAAAACCATGTCTATCTTTATTTCCCAAACACAATTCAACACAATCACAATCACTTTTTGCCTTTTAATCATTGTAAGCATCTTTTACCTCAGTCTTAACACCTAAGAAACACATTGTAAATTTTTTAAAACACGGGCCAGGCCCTGTTGTTACCTCATACCTCAGCGATAATGCCTTGCATTATGCCTGTTAAGAAAACACTTCAATAGCGAAGGTACATAAAGATGGTGACCCAAATGCACTTAACACAAATTCCTAGTTTTGCTAAGTTCGCCGTATTGTACATTGCTCTCCGTTACTCTTTTTTTGTATGGTCATTAGAAGAGTATACATGATCCCAATTTTTGCTTCAAGACAAAAAATAATACAAAAAAAATAAGATTGTACTGATTTATTGGCACATTAAACCATATTGCGTGCTGTAGTTTAAAATTCAGTGGATAGTGCTAAAACAATGACGTCATATATGAATTCTGCCAACTTTATGCACATTCACCATTTGCTCAACTTGCCATCAGCTCAACCATTGGCTCAACTTACCCCAAGTCTGTAAATCACACTGTGTTCTGGATATGTGCTAGAAGTATGGCCATAAACTTTGTCATGGGAAGATAAGATAAGAGGTCAAAATGCCTTGTAAGACTGTGAGCATCATTAAGTGCTCCTTTGGCAGTTCATGCAGGTAGTTTATTGTCAAAGCTTATACAGTATTGACGAAAACAACTGCACTTCAAATGAAAAGCAAATGTCAGCAGGACAGACAAACCATTGCGAAAATGCTGTAGTATAGGCCAATTGGTCATGTTGTCAATCATCTGTAGGCCTACCAGTTGGATAATTTGATAGAACAAAGTAGCATTGGAATTAAAAACATATTTTTGGTGAAATTTGATTGGCTTGTCAATGGGCAATGTTTTGACAGAAACTTATCCTTCACAATTTAGTCAGGGACTAGGGCTACAGTCAGAAAGGAACAGGTGAAGCATGCGAAAATCTTTGCTACGAGTACATTATACCAAATGTTGTATCAATCGACCAGGCGGTTGATGAGATGAAGATTTTGGAGGGTTTTTCCAAAATTCCAAGATGTCGGAAAACCCATCCTGGCGGACGTAACAATGGCAATAAAGGAAATATGAACTTCAACCTGGGTGCAAGCTTAAGCTTGTCTCTCGGACCCGGGTTTGATAGACAAGCTTGCACACAGGTAGAGTTTCATATTTCCATTATAACCATTGTTAAGTGTAATGAACATAATGGCTGAATCAAATGCCAAAGTAGAAGCTGCAGACAGTTGAGCATAAACAGATGAGGTCAATTGCGTATGAGAACAAAACGATAAGATGTTTTCCATTCTAACCTGACCATTTATAACCTTCTGTTGCCACCTGCTGATCATAGGGTCATACTGTAACATACCACAAACTCTCTAGTAATGTGCTTTCTGTGTCACTAGATGGCAATCACACCCTTCATTATTCAGTCTGGAACGATGACACGGTCATGACACGGTCCGAGGTGAATGAGTATAGTCCAGGTGGTGAGTAAATTACGCTATAAAATGGTATGGTATTTAATAGCATACATTTTAAATAATTAACAAAGCATTAAAATTATTAAAATAACACAAACTTCATAAAAGACCAAAAAAAATTGCCTTGCTGCAAATTTCGGATCTAGGCCTATATCTAGAAGTTGTACCCTTTTCAACATCACAATCCATTTTCAACGCACAGAAAATAAAAGTAATCTCCTGTTCAATAAAGGCATTTCTGAAATTGTTAACCTAAGTTTGACTGTATAACAATAACAAGACAAAAACACACCTTGGACAATGGGCAGAGACAAAAATCATAGGGGGCACAAAGTACATGAAATTAGGGGGCACAAAGTACATGAAATTGGACAGGGGGTGGTCAGGAGGGGAGCTAGGCGAAAGTTGAAGAATTTTGCCTTTTCCAAACACCTGAAACAGCTTTTCCCTGCAACCTAAAGCCATAATCATTATGCTTAATTCTATGTTTAAAATAAAACATCGTATATTTTTCTACATATCTAAGCATACCACTTGAGCTGTCTGTGTCCTCATGACTGGTGGTTCTTTTTTTTTTTATATGCTTCTCTGCATCTCTGCAAAAAAAATGGTGTAAAAGATTTTAAGGAATGTGAGTATTATTCAGGCCATTTAGTTATTGCTTGCTTTTCTCAAATCTACCAACCTTGCCAGCAGGCATGCCAGCTAAGATAATTAGACAAGCTAGCTACTCTAACTTTATTGATAGCCTGAAATGGCTTCTTGGTAGCTAGTTATGAGGTTGGGAGATTGGGAACCTATCTGGGCTAGCTAAAGCCTTCAACTTCATACAATTGCTAGGTGGCTAGTATTACAGAGAAAGAACAAAAATAAACATTTTTATGGGCATGACGCATCTTACACAAGTGTGTAATGAAAATGTGTTTCTTGCATATCCAAACTCACCCTCACCCAAATTATTATTATTATATACCTGACAACTCCATCCATGACTTGATAGACTATCGTCATTTCAAGTAGCCACGGTCTGACAGTGAAACAGCATAATAGGGCAGCCATGTCAAAGATGTTCTAAGCATCCGCAGCAACAGTCCTGGAGGCACCTGTGATTTGGAATTGCAGATTTCACTGAAGAAGAGGCGGTGCTACTTCCAAGCAGGGGGAGTAAAGGATGGATACATAATCCGTAAACAAAGCAGGTCGGTAGATAGCCGGCCAAATAGACTATTTGTTTGGGGAATGTATAAAGTCGTCGGAGTGTCTGCTTTAGAAAGTGATTTAAAAAGTAGTTGACACGTCACGTCGCAGGACTTGGTGGTGGCTGTGACATGTCTTCAGCGACTTTGTGATTTCTATAGGGACCACAGGCTACAGCGGCGCAGAGTGCAATAACTAGAGTCTGCTGTCCAACTTTCCAAAGCGAGGGAAATACGGCCCAAAACATGCCTGTTCGGCGGGGACACGTGGCTCCTCAGAACACTTTTCTGGATACAATCATCCGAAAATTCGAAGGACAGAGTAAGAACTTTTTTTCAATATTGAGTCATTTTGGGGAACCATGCTGTGGTTTGGAATTCAATGCAAACCGTCTCTTTCGATTTTCTAAATGCTTATTTAGATGCAATTTGTCCCGATTAAAATGAAAATACTAGGCTATTATTTTAGGTAATCTGCCTGTTCATTAGAGTTCATAGGTTTCATGAGATGTTACCACTTTCTATTATGTAGTATTATGATTGTCCTGTAAAAAGTAGCGTATAGTCTATGCAAAATTATTAGCCTTGATATGACTTTTCAAATATTTAACCAAATAATATAAGTGAAGATTAAAGACATGTACAGTATGCCACACATTTGATTGTGTAATCTCAGGGGTCTGATTTGCCATTGTAATTCTGTTTCCCTTCTTAGTATTATAATTGTACACACATAGCCTAATGATGAAGTCAGATGGAAAGGCAAGGCTACATTTCTACTTGACATTTACTGGGAGACCAATATTTCAAGTGGACATAAATAGGGCAGCAGTGTCTGTCAGAGCATAACTATGGTTTATATCATAGCGGGATCAGAAGAACCCAAGCTGCATTTCTAAGCAGGATGGGAGAGAGTAAAGCAGCTACATTTCAATAACTGAAGTCAATCACTGAATGTTTCCTTCTGGGGACATATTTTGAACCAAAATGTCATCTACTTGTTTTTCTAAGGCTCTAAACAGTTTATAGTTTTTATATAAACAACAAGTTTAGTAGTTGAATGTGAAACAGACTTGCACCTTACAGATTCTCCCATCTTAGTTATCTTGCAGGGTTACATGCCTTGGTGTAGATCACTGATATGGCATGTGTGGTCAAGTAGAATAACTATCTTAAATTGTATTGTAGTTTACGAAAGGTTCAATCAGTAAGGCTGGTATGAATGCTTGCTTTAAATTGATCCAGTAAGCATAGGGTAATGTGGGGTAACTAGCCCCCCCTAAGAAAAATGTCCAATTGCTGACACAAAAAAGCAAAGTTTGGTACAAATGAGGTATGTTGATGATGGATGGTCATGCTTAGGCAAACAAACTATGAAGGGACATACAGTGCATTCAGAAAGTATTCAGACCCCTTGACTTTTTCCACATTTTGTTATGTTAAAGCCTACTCTAAAATGTATTAAATAAAACATTTTCCTCATCAATCTACACACAATACCCCATAATGACAAAGCGAAAACAGGTTTTTAGAAATGTTAGCAAATTTATAAAAAATTAAACCTTGTTTACATAAGTATTCAGACCCTTTGCTATGAGACTCGAAATTGAGCTCAGGTGCATCCTGTTTCCATTGATCATCCTTGAGATGTTTCTACTCTTGATTGGAGTCCACCTGTGGTAAATTCAATTGATTGGACATGATTTGGAAAGGCACACACCTGTCTATATAAGTTCCCACAGTTGACAGTGCATGTCAGAGCAAAAACCAAACCATGTGAGGTCGAAGGAATTGTCTGTAGAGCTCCGAGACAGGATTGTGTCGAGGCACAGATCTGGGGAAGGGTACCAAAACATTTCTGCAGCATTGAAGGTCCCCAAGAACACAGTGGCCTCCATCATTCTTAAATGGAAGAAGTTTGGAACCATCAAGACTCTTCCTAGAGCTGGCCGCCTGGCCAAACTGAACAATCGGGGGAGAAGGGCCTCGGTCAGGGAGGTGACCAAGAACCTGATGGTCACTCTGACAAAGCTCCAGATTTCCTCTGTGGAGATGGGAGAACCTTCCAGAAGAACAAACATCTCTGCAGCACTCCGCCAATCAGGCCTTTATGGTAGAGTGGCCAGATGGAAGCCACTCCTCAGTAAAAGGCACATGACGGCCCACTTGGAGTTTGCCAAAAGGCACCTAAAGGACTCTCAGACCATGAGAAACAAGATTCTCTGGTCTGACGAAACCAAGATTGAACTCTTTGGCCTGAATGCCAAGCGTCACGTCTGGAGGAAACCTGGAACAATCCCTACAGTGAAGCATGGTGGTGGCAGCATCATGCTGTGGGGAAGTTTTTCAGCGGCAGGGACTGGGAGACTAGTCAGGATCGAGGGAAAGATGAATGGCGCAAAGTACAGAGAGATCCTTGATGATAACCTGCTCCAGAGCGCTCAGGACCTCTGACTGGGGCGAAGGTTAACCTTCCAACAGGACAACGACCCTAAGCACACAGCCAACACAACGCAGGAGTGGCTTCGGGACAAGTCTCTGAATGTCCTTGAGTGGCCCAGCCAGAGCCCGGACTTGAACCCAATCGAACATCTCTGGAGAGACCTGAAAATAGCTGTGCAGAGCTTGAGAGGATCTGCAGAGAAGAATGGGAGAAACTCCCCAAATACAGGTGTGCCAAGCTTGTAGCGTCATACCCAAGAAGACTCGATGCTGTAATCCCTGCCAAAGGTGCTTCAACAAAGTACTAAGTAAAGGGTCTGAATACTTATGTAAATGTGAGTTTTCAGTTTTTTATTTTTAATACATTTGCAAACATTTCTAAAAACTGTTGATGAGGGGAAAAAACTATTTAATCCATTTTAGAATAAGGCTGTAATATAACAAAATGTGGAAAAAGTAAAGGGGTCTGAATACTTTCCGAATGGCTACAGTTGACACTTAAAACATTTTTTTTAAATGAAATGTTAATTTTAGAAAAGGGCAGTTTTTCCCAAGTAATCGATTTTATAAATATACTTTTTTCTAGGTGTCTTATTTTAATTAAATAAATCAAATATTTAAACAAAATGGCATTGCACATCTCACTATTAATTTCCTCACTATGATGAGGTTTTGATGTAAGGTCTTTTAATTTTCGCACCAACTCATGTCCAAATCATCCTAAAGTATCTAAAAAATGACTGATTGTATTCTGTCTCATTCGCTGAAGTCTGTACTAGATTGAACTGTAGTAAACTGTATTATATATGATGACAAATTGCAATGACTCTTTAGATTAGAACAATATTGATCTATTACTCCCTCCTTCCTCAGATCGCAAGTTCATCATCGCCAATGCTCGCGTGGAGAACTGCGCCATCATCTTCTGCAACGACGCCTTCTGTGGCATGTGCGGGTACACGCGCGCTGAGGTCATGCAGAAGCCGTGCACCTGCAGCTTTCTGTATGGGCCGCACACCAAGAGGCCTGCCATGGCCCAGATGGCCAAGGCTCTGCTAGGCTCCGAGGAGAGGAAGGTGGAGATCTCCCTCTACTCCAAAGATGGTATGACCTGACCCGGCACAGCCCGCCAGTGCTTCAGTATGGCTCTCATTTTATTTTTAAACATAAAACACACTTAGGAATAGAGGTTATAAAGTATTTCATTCATCAGTGTTTAATCTTTAATTTTGGATGATGCCAGAGGCTTTTATTTAGAGAATGAGATCCTTATAAAGGCTTTGGGTATTGGGTAATCCTAGTTTAGTAACACTTTACTTGAATGCTCTGTGTCATAAGGACTACACAACACTGTCTTGACGATGGTACAGAAATGGATGGTGTTTTTTGGACCATATACAGTGAGCACCATAATTCATTGGACACTGACCATTATTTTGGTTCTGTACTCTAGCACTTTTGAGTTGACAATGAGGGTGAAGTGCAGACTGTCAGCTTTCATTTGAGGGTATTTTCATACATATCGGATGAACCGTTTAGAAATGACAGCACCTTTTGTACATGGTCCCCCCATTTTAAGGTACTACAAGTATTTGTTAAATTGGCTTCACAGATGTGTGTCGTTAGGCAGGTGTATTCATTTGTGTCGTTAGTGAATGCAGGAGAGCTGTTGATGAATAGTATTGATTATAGACTTTGCTATTGCCTTTGGAGGTTGTTGTTGGGGTGTGACAACATGAGGAAGACAGCAGTGTTGATGCAAATGAAGCTGGCCGTCATAAGGCTCAGAAATGAAAATCAATAAATCAGGAACATTGCAAAAACCCTGGCCATGCCCAAGTCAACAGTTTGGTTCATCATTAACAAGAAAAAAACAACCAGTGAAGTCAATTATGTCAAAAGACCCGGTAGACCGAGGAAGACCACTGTAGTGGATGACCGGAGAATACTCTCTATGGTGAAGAAAAAACCCCTGACAACAGCCCAACAGATCAAAAACACTCTCCTGGATGCAGGTGTAGATGTGTCAAAGTCTACCATACGTAGAAGAGTACACCAGCAGGACTACAGAGGGTACACTACAAGATGCAAACCACTGATAAGCCTGAAGAACAGAAAAGCGAGATTACAGTTTGCTAAAAAGCACCTAAAAGAGCCCCAAGAGTTCTGGAAAAAAGTATTGTGGACAGATGAGACAAAGATTAACATGTACCAGAGTGATGGAAAGAGGAAAGTGTGGAGAAAAAAAAGAAATGCCCATGATCCAAAGGATACCACCTCATCCCTGAAACATGGTGGAGGGGGTGTTATGGCTTGGGCCTGTATGGCTGCCAGTGGAACAGGCTCACTTGTCTTCATCGATGATGTGACTGCAGACAGAAGTAGAACAGTGAATTCTGAAGTATACAGAAATATTTTATCTGCTCAGATAAAACCAAATGCCTCCAAACTCATTGGACGGCACTTCATCATGCAACAAGACAATGACCCTAAACATACTGCTAGAGCAACAAAGGGGTTTTTGATGGCCAAAAAGTGGAAAGTCCTTGAATGGCTGAGTCAATCACCAGATCTGAATCCAATTCAACATGCATTTTACAAGCTGAAGAGGAGACTGAAGGCAATAAGTCCCCGAAACAAGCAGGAACTGAAGATGGCTGCAGTACAGGCCTGGCAGAGCATCACCAGGGAAGATACCCAGCGTCTGGTGATGTCAATGCATCGCAGACTTCAAGCAGTCATTGCATGCAAAGGATATGCGACCAAATATTAACAATGATTACTTTATTCTACATTATGTTAAACTGTCCAATGTTTTTTATGCCCCAAAATTGGGGGGACCATGTACAAAAGCTTCTATCATTTCTAAACGGTTCATCCAATATGTATGAAAATACCCTCAAATTAAAGCTGACAGTCTGCACTTCACCCTGATTATCCTTTCAAACTCAAAAGTGCTAGAGTACAGAACCAAAATAACAAAAAAATTGTCACTGTCCAATGAATTATGGTGCTCACTGTAGCTGGAGAAGGAGATGTGCATAATGAACATTCCATTTCCCCCATGTTTAGCTCTCTGTGTCTAAATGGTCCATGTGTTTATATGACTCTATTATTTCTGTCATAGGTTCCAGCACACAGCTGTGCCAATTACAAGAAGAGATAGGAAAGCAATGAACTATAGATAGTGTTTTTATGACATCTTGATTGCTCTCTTCAGTGCCTGCCTCCCATGCCTCTCCACTGTACTCTAAATGGACGATGCTTTCTACACTCAGAAACACAGCACACACAGCCTTCTACACACACACACACACACACACACACACACACACACACACACACACACACAGTTTTGTATTGCTATCCTTGTTGACCAAATAATTGATTCCCATCCAAAATCCTATTTCCCCTAACCCTAAATCTAACCTTAACCTAACCATAACTCGAACCTTATCCGTAAGCCTAACCTTAACCCCAAACCCCTAACCCTAACGTTAAAACTGTACCTAAACCTAACCGTAAACCCTAACCTTAGTTCTAACCCTAATTGTAACTCTAAACCTAACCCCTAAGCCTAAAATAGCATGTTTCCTTGTGGGGACTGGCAAAATGTCCCCACGTGTCTGAATTTTCCTTGTTTTACTATCCTTGTGAGGACTTCTGGTACCCACAAGGATAGTTAAACAAAAACACACACACACAGAGCACTTTAGTGCTCCATCCCTTCAGATTGATTAATAAGCCCATCATATATTTATTTTATTTATTTATTTTTAGCCATTTAGCAGACACTCTTATCCAGAGCGACTTACAGGAGCAATTTGGGTTAAGTGCCTTGCTCAAGGGCACATCGACAGATTTTTCACCTGGTCGGCTAGGGGATTAGAACCAGCGACCTTTCGTTTACCCAACACTCGCGTGGAGACCACTAAGCTACCTGCCGCCCTGATGTATCGTGTTGATTGTCACTGAGACAGCCAACACAATCAATCATATAGGCTAGAGAATATCACTGCAAGGTAGGATCAGACTGGTGCTGTCTCCGTGTCAATTGTTATTACAATATATTCTGTTTTTAAAGAGTAACCTTGTCTCTATAATGTAGTTTTATAGGGCAGTTGGGAATAGCGGAATCATAACAATAGAAATAAAAGACAAGGAGTCGTGACCCAGCTAGCTCATAACATTCTATGAACCATATGTTTCTTAGAGCTTGGTGGGAGCGTGGTTGTCCGATGGTTATTTTGCATACAACCTTCCCACAACATTTAACTATGATGCAGGATAGTTGCTTGGCTTTGGGACATTCTCAGCACATTTAAGGAACTTGACAAAATAACGTTTTTTTTTTGGTAATTCGTTACTTAAGCAGAACGTTTCCTAGAAGTTCAAACATGGTTACATTTAATTACATTTTTGGTAATGTTCTAGGAATGTTCTCCAACTGGTTTGACATTGGGAATGTTCTCAAATAGTTCAAAGAATGTTATGAAACAACGTTCTTCTGTGGGAATTTCAATACTTCAGCATAGTGTTTCCTACAGGTTTCCTCATGGTTCTATTTAAAGTAATGTTCTCAAATTGTTCTGAGAATATTATGAAAAAAGTTATTCTGTGAGAATTTCAGTACTTCAGCATAATGTTTCCTACAGGTTAACTCATGGTTCTTCTATTTAAAGCAATGTTTATATTTACAGTACATTTTAGTCATTTAGCAGACACTCTTATCCAGAGCAACATACAGGAGCAATTAGGGTTAAGTGCCTTGCTCAAGGGCACGTTGACAGATTTTTCACCTAGTCTGCTCGGGAATTCAAACCAGTGCTCTTAACTGTTAGGCTACCATAAAAAACACAAGAAAACATTAGTAATGTTTAAATAACTTTCTAAGAATGTTATTTAAAAACATACATTCTGTTCTCAGCATCAACAAAACTCTCTCTATCCTCCATCTTGGTAAGTGTGTTCAGGTGTGTTGGCCATGCCCACTAATTGGCCACACCTGATCTTAATGAGTGCTTGTTCCCTTTGAAATCGGGTCTGTTTGAATAGACTAAAATGAACAGCTTTGTATGAGTTTAAAAAACATGGCATGTTAGCTCCATCCTGGTGGCGCAGTGGACTAATACCATGAATAAAGAACAGAAGATCGTAGGTTTAAATCTCACTGCGGCTGTGACAAAATAAATGTGTTTGCATGCCTAATGCCGGGTGGACACTACATGACTTTTAAAATCCTGACATTGCTGAGCCTCTCACATTAAACGACCATCTTTCCTGTAATTTTTTGTCTTGCCAAGGTAGTGGCACAGACGGGGGTCACACACTAGAAGATTCTTCACATGCTCGTGGTGATTCTCGATACCACGTTGTCTCACTACAACAAGGATGTGATGTGATTAGATAGCTAGAACGAGCTTTGGCTCAAAGCAGCCTCATAAACACTTTGTCAGACATTCACGCTTGCCATACCGAGTTGAAAATCTAGCCAATACATTTTGAATTTAATAACATTGCTTGTCAGAGCTGTAACGATTTGACACTATGGCAAGTACAAACGCATACTAGTATTGGTCATCGCTCCTGCTCGAGAGTAAACATTCTGGGTGATGTAATACAACGTCATCTCACTAGCTCCTCCTCTGGAGAGCTCTCATTGGCTGTTGCTGATCACCGTTCTCAAATCTTGTCGTTGCATATCTCACAGTACAAGAGCATTGCAGATTTTGTGCCGATAAAATCAAACGTTTGAAAATATCGGGACTTCTGGGACTGCTCAAAGACGGGATCGGTAGCCCTCAGATTGGGTCTCTGACCCGCTCACATTAAACAAGCGTCGGGAACGGCCGCTCACCCCGACTAGGCAACGACATGGGGATTTTGTCTCCGATCTCAAAAACCTGTCTGGGACCGCTAAATCGGGGCCAAAATTGTGTACACCTGGTTTAAGCAAATTCATTTCCATTTGTCCTATCTGTGCTTGGAGTTAAAAAAAGTTAACCCAAATTAAGCTAGCAGTGTTATTAAAAGTCTTATTGAAACATTCAGTGAAGGTTTTAAGGAAGTTATTAAAAATTATCCAAATAACCTTTTCATTTCGTTCAAAACATTC